CGCGCCGAAATCGCACGCACGGCTTGCGCGTTGACGGCCGCCTTGAAAGTAGACTACAGTTCTACTGCCATACGTACAAAAAATTAGCTGCGATGGGCGGCATTAGTGACCAGTTTCGAGTCAGCGAGCATGCGCCAAATCGGCCGCAATATATGTATGTGCCAGTGAACTCAAATAAGACTGGAACGCTCACTTTCTCGGAAGTTTAAAGCCAAGATGACGGATCATGAAGCCTTTCTTGTAGGTGTGATCCAGGCTTCCACGCGGATATTTCGTAGGTAAAATGGCGGCAATTCTTTTGAAATTTCCACGCCGGAGGCCTGGATCATACCTACAAAAAAGGCTTCATGATCCGCCATCTTGGCTTAACTCATTAATTAGGGAAAGTCGGAGAGTGAGCGTTCCAGTCTAATTTGAGTTCACTGGTATGTGCAAGTGGGCCGATTCTCCATTACGCGCCGGCGAAGCGCGCTTTGTTTTTCAGGCCGGTCACGGTCGCATGGGCAGATTTTCAAAAGCCGCTTCGCCCGCGCAGGTGAAGCCGACAGTAATGAAGAATAGCCTTTAGTCGCGCTATGCAAATTTCAAATCATAATTTAGAAATAGATTGTTTCCAACTTTGGTTTTGGACTCAACAAAATAATCACAAGAACTACATAATTAATTAATATAAACCATGTTCTTCGTGTTTAATATTTTTCATGTTTTCTTTCAGACCATCCTTACAGGGAGTATTTTAGTCTTCGCTGTTGTCTGTAGACACCAGGTCTTGGTAAGATGATTATTGTATACATAAACAGTTGATGGCATGTATGCAAGTACATAATGTAGAGATAGATAACTGTCTCTCACAGTCATACCTATAGAGTCATATACTTAGGTCGAAACGTCGAGATGTGTTTTAGTTCTATTTTAAGGTGGGTGGGGAGAAGTATTCATATATTCGTCTTAGGGGCTGTTTACATGAGCCCGGTTACCCGAGATTCAACGAAGCGTGAGAGGACTTTGAGGTATTAAAATAAGTCTTTGCGACACCAAACAAGTACATGCTATTGTTGTGGTGATTATACGACTGCCAGAATCATGTTATTTGCTCATTTCAATACCTCAAAATCATCTCACGCTTCGTTGAATCTCGGGTAACCGGGCTCATGTAAACAGCCCTTTATTCGACTGGTTTCTTTTGATAACGATTTGTTTTTGCGCTTACGCTTCTTTGAACATGAATATGGTATCGCTTATAGTATAGCTTCGTGTGATATTCACGCAAAGAAATGGCATTATAATATTTTCAAAACTTCAAATAGCGCTCGTTCTTGAGAATCACTATTGCACATGCATGTATATCGCACAAAGAACTGTACTCTCTACTATTATCTGAACAAATTTTTAAAAAAAGGATTGAGAGAAAATACGTCTAAATCTACTCATGCACGGGATTGGTCAAAATCAATCACATGGTTGACGACAGATCACGACCTGACGACAGATCATGAGAATCATAATTTAATCGCAATAACCCATGAAAATCATGGTTTATTCAAAATTAATATACAATCTTCGTGCATTGGCCTAAATCTACTCACGCGATTGGTCAAAATCAATCACGTGGTTTCTTGTTGCCTGGCGACAGATCATGAAAATCGTGGTTTATTCGCAATAACCCACGAAAATCGTGGTTTATTCGCAATAACCCATGAAAATCGTGGTTTATTCAAAAATGACAGCCTGCAGCGAAGCTTAAATCTTCAATGCAGCAATCAATGAACTCAGATTGTATATTAAAAGTGTTAGAGACTTTATGTTCGTGTTTTGTTTACAAATAAACGCACTTGCTGACCATACATTGAACTCGAAATGTCAATATTGCACTCGGTCTCGTGCAATATTGAAATTTTTCGTTCATTGTATGGTATAAGCGCGTGCGTTTATTTGTGAACAAAACACTCACAACAGTCTCTAACCTTAAATATTTGATAATGGTCGAGTATACCATATTCCAGTATATTCGAATTATGGTCGAGTATACCCTAATTCGGTACCTACTTCGGTCATACCATTCGACCATGGTCGAGTATACCATATTCCGCCATATTCGACCATATGCATGGTCGAGTATATAGTTGAGTATACTCCTCGACCATGGTTGAATATACCGGAATATGGTATACTCGAATATTAAAGTTATATTCAACCTTAATGAGACATCAATAAACTTCCATCGATTTTAAATACTTTCCTAGAAATACATCAGTCTATGTGCTGTTCTCATTACGATGGTATTAACACTGGGTGTCATCATGGAGGAATCCGCAAAAGCGTCAGCCTTACATTACCATAGCCGTGACGGTTATTTGTGCAAGGAATGGTTGGAAAAAGAATATAACGAAAAAAGGCTACACGAATTGAAGGCAGATTGTTTAAAATTTAAGGAGGCAGCTCCCTGGTATTACATCATGGTATTTGCGGCAGATATTGTTTTTGTATTGTGCTCATTTGTGGCGATGATATTGTTTAGCGACTGGTTCTTATTTGTCGCTCCGGTAAGAATTATATTGTTTAGATGATCCTATCTCATATCAGTGACCTTTATATCATTGTCATTTTGACTTGTGAAACCGGTGGTCGTTTATAAAAACCTGTGGTTAAACATTCTCCTGAGGCAAATGCTTATAGCGCGCAAGGGGCCTTCATGTCTTCCGTATTAACCTCTAGCCTTCTACTATGACGTTAGATTTCATAGAAGACGCGATAAAGTACAATGATTAATATATGAATACGAATGGAGAAAATAGGGAGTTGTTTTGAAATGTTTAACAGCTCTATATCGACATATCCTTCAATTTGCTGTTTGGAAGTGTATACATGCAGCTAAATCGATTAACGGTTATAATTCAGCTAATTCAATTTACGTTATCTTTCTAAAACATCACTGAACTATGCATGTGCACGTAATATATAATATTTTTTTATATAGCATATATTCAAAATATGGTATCATTCACGTTTAGATCACAATATATTTTTAAAACATTTCTAGAGATCATCATATTATAGTTCCGAGTTGGCGCACCACCTTCCTGCAGCATATCAAACAGGATGTTATAATATGCAACATTTGTCTAATACTCAACAAGATCCGAATCCAGTATAGATGTTTAACCACGCACTACAATACACAGGGATTGCACCAGCTTTAAAATAATATATCAGTGACCAGAAAGATCTTGAGCAGCATGGGGCAAGCTCGAGTTATGTTTGAAGCTGTGATATAGGAAAGACGTCCTTCCCTAAGATGTATAGTTACAACTTCAGCGATAGTCAATTAGTCAGTTTATAAAAGCGATAGTGTAAAAGCGATAGTCATTTTATAAAAAGTAATAGGTTAAACGTGCTAAAGGTTAAACGTGTTTGTAACATAATGTTTCAAACAGACAGAGATGATATTTTATTATTCGTAGCTATTACTGTTAGATGAACTGAACAGGGGCCGGTTGTATAAAAGCCATGCAGATATCCACCGGATAGTGAATTTTTCAATCGCTCTAAAATCGCCTGTTGTTGGCTGAAACATTAATTAAATCTTAGTATTCCTAAATTGAGGATCCTCTTTAATAATTGTTGCTTCCAAAGCTAAAATTTTATTATACTTTTCAAGCATATTTGGGAATCTTGAAAAAATCACTATCCGGTGCATAGCGCGCTATCAAGCCGTCGTACAACCGGCCCCTGAACTTTATTTATCCACGGTGGATTCATCAGGATTACAAATTGGAGCTACACGCAATTAAACTATAAATATATACACACTAAAATATATAATACAAATACAAATGAACCTGTTTTCCATGAATGCCGTGTTTATCGAATATGACGTTTCAACAATCTTTGAAATTCATTTAGGGATTCTGCTTGTCTGATATTAGTAGGTAGGCTGTTCCACAAGACCGCCCCAGCTATTATAACTAAAGCTATAACTAAAGCTGTTTTTAAGATAATTGGTGCGGGGTAATGGAACAGCAAGCTTGTTCACAGAGTCTCTGAGTGAATAGTTAGTTACATCGTTACGATTTATAAATTTGGAATGTAGATATATTCAGGAGTGAGACCGTGCATGTGTAGACTTATAAACCATCAACGCTTTATGAATTTGGAGTTGTGTAATTAGATTGTCCCACCCGGCCCTAAAATTTCCATTATATGTCCTGCATCGACGTCAACTCGTGATCCTTTATACTGGACAATACTGGATTAATACTTAACTTATCAACTTTCGTTATGATGACGTCAAGTGTGGGGTTGGCTTTATATAAAATTGCTTTAATTTGCCAAGTAAGAATCATTAGTTGTTCACTTAAATGTTTCTAGAAAGGTAAAACTACAACCAAAAACGAGTTCAAGGTTCATATTGACACATTTTCACTGAAATCTCACAGTATACATCCATAGCTTCCCTAGATTATATCCTTTAGTAATGTATTTATGTAAATTAGGTTTTTTCCCTTAGTCTGCATGTTTTTAAAGATACCGTTGTTTTATAATGAAAGAAATAAGACGCACGTTGATAGCAGTAATTTATTACTGAAGTGTTTTTATCCTGTGTTTTTATCCTAAATATTAATATTTTTTGCGTTGAGAATTTTTAATACCGTAACAAGCGGATGTAAAACTTGAAGGAAAAAAGGCTTAAAATTTGAACTTTCCAATTTGAAGACTGTCAATAATATTAGCTACTTCTGTTCGAGAAAAATGTTTCTTGTGAACAGCCTTGTTCGTACCAAGGGTTGACACACTATCAACGTGGATAGTATTTCTCTGCAACGATGGCTCTGCGATGCCATTGTGAGAAAGGTTTCATCAAGCGTTGCACAAAATAGATTCAGTCCTACATCACTTGATACAACTTGTGTTGCCACGATTTTGGCCTTTCCGTAGCTGGCATATTGAACGGTATTTACAGAAGACCCTGCACTTTTTGTGTTATTTGGTGCAGAAGGGCATCGATTCTTTGCCGAAGTTTTCCTTCCAAAACGTCTATGACTCGTCCAACTATACGGTAATGCAAGACATGTTGCAATTGCATGAAAAAATTGCATCGTGCATGTAACAGTGCTTCAACGCATAAGCAGGTGACCATCCTAATTTGGCATTCGAGAATCAATTGCGAGTTGCGGTTACCATACCAGTGTTTATGCATTAATTTAAAAATAACAACTCTTAAAAACTTGCTATTAACGAGCGCGTAATATATAAAGTAGCATAAACAGTTGCTATAGCGGTCAATATTTCGAAAGCACAACAACTTTGCATCAGAGACTTTCGGATTACTCAAGAAACAAAACTTTTCTTGAAGATGGCAAACAATGTCCAAACAGCAATACGGGTGACCGTTTGTTTAGCAGGCTTGGGTATACTCACAATGGGAGTTCTGTTATTAGCATCCGGAATTATGATAGCAAATCTATTGAAGGACATCGGATTATTCTCAGGATTCGAGACCAGCTGTCAGTATTGGGCTGGAATACCGGTAAGTGTAGTACAAATTGAGCATTAAAATCAATAGCAAAAGATAGTTTCAGTGCAAGCTACCATTCGTCCCCAATCCCTTTTAATACAACGAAGGACACGAACGCAAAAGACATAAGATCACTGATCTGAAATCATATATACGGGTTGCGCGCTATCTTTTAGTTTGAAATAAGCCCACACTGACTCACACATGCATTATCATAAGCGACCAACTGACAAATAAAAATTAATGTAGCAATAGAGTATTTTTATAAGATTTGAACTAACCTCTCCCACCCACACATCACGCCTTCAGAAATTACTTTCTTGCATAGTTGACCAGTCCAGGGAATCAATTTTGGTAGCCTCTATCAATACAAGAAGCCATAAAATGAGATTCTCATATAATTCTGTCGTTTTAGATAATCGTTACTGGAATCATGCTTCTTCCAACAGCCTGTGTTACACGCTATCGTATTTTGGTAAATTCAATAGTCGACATTTTTATCTATTTTTCTCAATCTTCCAAGGGGTGAAAAAACAATGCAGGAACCAATAACGAAAACATGAGTGATACACTAGTAATGGGTACCATGCATGAACGCGCTTCTATTAAAATTTCCGTTATTGGTTTCCATTTATCTCACAAGTTACACTGGGGCCGGTTGTATAAAACTACATTTTGCACTGCATTGCATTCACGACTCTGATTGGCCAATTCTGTCACTAACTGCAGTTAAAAGTTAACTAGCCTTTTATACAACTAACCCCATGCAGGGGGCGCTTAGCTGAAGCCCCGTTTACACTACACTCGATTTATTGGCACGGCACGGCTAAAATGGGTTACCGTGCCCATTTCATCCGTGCCCGGCCTTTGTTTTGGTAGCCTGACCACCAGTAAAATTGGGCACGGGTACCCATTTTAGCCGTGCCGTGTCGATAAATTGACTGTAGTTTAAACGGGGCTTTAAACGGTGGATAAGTTCTAATTTCAAAATAGAAAACAAGTCCGCCGTTTTATTCAACAAGCGAACTAAATACTTTTTACCTTAACACAAAGATACTGTTTTCAACTACATATTCAGTGCATAATACCGTGATAATACTCAAGTTGATTCATTCGAGAGAGTTGTAAGAGTGTTATTTAATTTTGACTTATCCACCGATTTAGTTAAACGGGCTTGATACAACAGGCCCCAGGTGAATATTTGAAAACAAATCTGTTTTATAAACTGATAAACTTTAGCTAGAGAAACTAGTCTGGCCCTAGACGTCACGTGAAAATCATCTTTAGTCTTTGCACCCCCAAAAGATGGTGGAAAAAACTATGAAAGGGTTTTTTGAATACTACGGGGGACCGGCTGAATTCCTCCGGTATCGCAGAGCTAGACCATTAAACTATTTTCAGAAAGGTTGCCTATATATTGCATATCGCAAATTTGCATTCTCTCAGACCACATCGCAAAAGCTGAAAGTATTTTACCGCGGTGGGAATGAAAACTCAAAACTGTGACCTTTAGTCACACTTCACCAATGCTCTACAATACCTGACCTGCAAGGTCACGTTCTAGTAGTTGGAAACAGATTCAAGTTCCCTGTTTCGATAGCTCAGTTGGTTACACTCGGGGTGACATCATCCGTGTCACGCAGCTAAAATTATTCACACTTGCAAGCTTATAGGCTGCATGGTGTCCTAATTAATGTCATAATTGGCCATATTCTTTGTAATTCATTACGTGAAATTTGTTGTAATGATTTCATGTCAGATTGCGCGAAACGATATATGGCGAACTGGGTGTACTGGGAAGTAACTAGTTAGAGCTGGGGATTCCGATCGTCTGTGGTTCCTAGTGAATCAGTACGTGTCTGTGTCTATATATCAGAAATAATATTATCATTTCTAGGACAAGTGCAGATCAGGTTATACTGAACGTGCTGTGTATATTATAACCTTCATAACTCATAATTTAATATTTCATGAAGATTCAAAAGAAATGCATCTTTAATGAGTGTTTATATATATGAAAAACACAACTACTGGTGTTTTTAAATAATGCAGAAGCACCACAAAATCATCAACAGCTGTGTTGTAAACGTCTTATCGTGCAAAGCATGACGGGTTGTCACCCGGCATTACTGTATATGGCGGTTATGGCCCCCAAAATACAACGCATGCCGATTATATTCTGAGTAAACATTTGAGTTAAAAGTATTCTTGTTAGACGTGACCTAGTCAGTAAGTAAGCGATTTATTAGGGTATAAACACTTGACAGTAAGGGCTGCTTTCCACTTACGCGTTTTTTATACGCACGTACACGCACGGAAAATTTGAAATGCTTTTAAATTTTTATTATTTAACATCTAGGTCAACTAATGCATACTAAAATATGCAGAAAACTAAGTTCCTTCGAGTTATTCACTTTTTTCAAAGGTAACATGTATAAGGATTTAGACTTTTACGTGCGTATGAAAAACGCGTAACTGGAAAGCAGCCTTAACATTAAAATTTCCGATGAACTAGTGGCCCTAAAATCTCAGCCTAAATAGACAAAAATTTCGTCGACAACTCTATACGAGTACTTATAATTATTTCCTTTTCTGATTTAGAAATACGCAAGTACATGTTGTGTCCTGACAACAATGGTTTTATCACTGATCGTGATTGTGGAAGAATCATCAGAAAGCGCCACTGTACGCTCTATGATCGACGGAATGATTTGCAAAGATATAGACGAATTAGATATCTTTAATATGGTTGAAAAATGTGATACACTCAGGTCCGCCCATTCCTGGTACAATATTATGCTGTTCACGTCAGCTATTGCGATTGTTTTGTGTATAACTGTTCTTTTCGCTTTGTTTGCTGACTGGATCCTGTTCGTGGCAATGGTAGGTTAGGTTTTGGTACAAGTTAAGCCTCTTACAGACGAGCAGGTTTTCCACAACTTTTTAAAGAAGTTGTCAAAGTTGGGCGTACAGACGAACAATTAAAACTTGTCACATAAAAACTTGTCATAGAAAAATTGCTCGTCTGTAAGAGGCTTTAATAAAATCTCGTCAGTTTTCTGCTGGCAAGGCCTATAGTAATTATCAAAGCTGCAGCGAGACCCAACTGTGGGGATGAACGTGACTTGTCTTTTCTTTTTGGTAGAAATCTTCCTACAGAGAATATTTGGAGTCCATGGATAGCCACGCACATCCTCACACAGATTACACAAGATTTTGCGCACCAGACGGGCTGGAACAACCAATATGGAATGCTCGTTACGAGGGTGGCGGAATGCCCCTGGGACCAGTTTGAAAATACTCTCCAAATCAGAACGAACTATTATTATATACATGCATTGATCTACTTTGCTCGTTAAATATTGTACCGTCATACATGTATAACACTAATTAAATAGCTATAATGTAGGTCCAAGCGTAATAAGCAATAGCAAAAGTGCTATTCATGAGAAAAAATTAAAAAAAAAAGCATTTCAGAGTTTCTTTTTGGACCAGGAACTGGTCCCTAACCGCTGCTAATCTTCTTCTTCTTCTTGTTAGGGAGCGACGCTCTTTAAAAAAACCCTAACGCTCTAGCATTACTTGTTTGATCGGAATGAAACTTGGCACAATTATTCTAAGCAATATTCCGCATCGATTGACGGAGTTCGAATTTTTATTTTTGACCTTTGAAGCAAGTTACAAGCAATTCTTGATATATTTGCAGCAAATAATATATACATATCATTAATATTCAGCCTATATATAAGTAAACGCAAACGATTAGAAATACATTGTCCTCTCCATTGTCATAAATACAATGCAGTTCAGAAATTAAACTCGGTTACGCAGTTCCTGGTCCCTATACGATCGTACTTGTTTTTCTGATATTTTTGGCACATATGAACGATGAATATGTCATCAAATCATTCTGACCGCAGTGATGCACTTCCTGTGCCCGCTCTCAAACACTCCCTCTCAGAGTGTCACGTATTTTCGCTCCTTAAACGATTGTATATCATTGAGGTATTATAATTCCTATTGTAGTCTGGTTTAAAAATATATTTGTATATTGGTTGTACCTTGTGTGCGTTAGACTGTGAGATAAATATGTCTGCGAGACTGCGAAGAAGCAATGCCTTCGCACTTTTGGCATTTGCTAGCATAAATAATCATTAATAATCATTTCTTCTTGTCGCTTTTCGATGTTATTTTTAAGTTTTCAACCTAACATAGCGCCATAATATGCTACGTGCATCCACAGCTCTCTCAACGCCGGAGGTAAAAAATTTAAATACAATACGATTTCAACGGATTTAATCAGCATTATGGAAATATTCTATATATTGCATGTCGGGATAAATGCATAAATGAACATACTTTATTAAAATCTTCATCGCAATAACAGTTTGAAATATTGCACTGTTGATCATCAAACTAAAACAGAGTAGCTACCATTCAGTGTTGCGATGGCATCGAAGCTACGATCGAGAATACAATTAATCATTGGTCTAGCGGGCTTGGTATTAACATGTTCCGGTATTATATTATTTGCATCCAGTTATTTGGTGGAAGAGTGGTTGAAAAGCTACGAATTTAGTTCTCCGCTGGGAAGAAACCATTGCGAATACTGGGCAGCAATACCAGTAAGTTAAACCGTGACGATAAGAACGTGATGGTGTAACACATATTCATTTTAAAGGCATAGCGAACTTAAACGTTGTTAGTCATTCAGAATCTCAGACTACGTTCACACGGGGCCGGGGGCAAATTTTGAACCGTGCTCGAATTCGTTCGTTTCATGTGTTCACGCGGTGATAACGAATGAAAATTTGACGGGTTCTACGTGTTCACACGAGGAAACTGGACGATGTGTGAACGTAGCCTCAGAAAGCAATCACAGCACATCGTATTTCAAGAAGTAAAGTAGTACAGTAGTTGAAAATGTAACAAATCGTTTGTGTACACATACGGTAAGCCAATTTGTCAGGCGGCTGTGCGATTAATAGTGGATAAGCCTCACAAACAAGCGGGGATCAAGCAATAATTTTAGACATTATAGTCTATAGGGATAAATACGTGCGCCTGCCTTATGAAGTGGTCACTTGTAAACTTGGTCACTTGTAAACTTAGACTACGTTTACACAACTCCAGAGCGAGAAAGTGACGGCAGAATTTGACTGCGTTTACACTGCTCCGTTTCAATTCCGATACAGTTTCGTTAGCGTTTACACAATAGCGTTCTTCGCTGTCAACATCCGTAAGTTGTTCGCGGGAAATTGCGGCATTTCTTTTTGAAACATTGCTGTCATTGCTTGACGTTTATATCTGTAGTCGTGGGTCGCAAAAACAATGAAAATATAACGCCGATAGCGAGAAAGGTGCTTGTTGATAAATTGTTGGAAAGTTGTTCGCTATATTGAATTACGGCAACAACACGCCAGGCATTGTGGCGGAGTGGTATCTAAAGTGTAGCGAAATATTAACGGTGTAGTGTTTACACAACGCCATGTAGCGCTCCGTTTTCGTTCGACCACGTTTAGAAAGTGTGGTCGTGTCGCTACGGCAAAGGTGACGTTTTCGAACAAATCCGCTCCGGTGCAGTGTAAACGCAACCCCGTTTTGATACTTTTTTGCACCGTTTTCAGACCGATCCGGAGTAGTGTAAACGTAGTCTTAGACTACGTTTTTTCGTTTTTACGTCAATTCGTTTTTAAAAAGGTTTGTCTTCAGTTTAAAGAAGCCCCGACGCTGTTTAATTTAGCTCTTGGGTATCATGTGACGTCATAATTCCAGGGGGGTCAGCTTGAAAACGAGACAAATTAATCAGAGTGAGTTAATTGTTCAATTTCTTGCCATTTGCTCACTTCAGTGCAGCATAAGCGTCCAGACAATTGACATTGACCCCACTTAAACCACTATGAAAACGCTCAGTGAAACCCACCAATAATAATGGCGTAGCCAAATGCATATAAAGCAAAAGTAATACTTTTAAGAGGAGATATTTTTCTATGTCGCGTAATATATGCTCAAAACCTCAGTTATATCTTCATGCAACAGCACTAAAATTTTTGAACCTGAAAAGCATCCACAAAGTATGTTTACTGTATAATCTCAAAATATTGTGAAAATGAAAAGATTTTTCGGGATACGCCGAGAAGAAAATGACACTTGAATCGAAGCTTCTTTTGTATTCATTTCAGTTTCATTTCAGTTACATTGGCGTAGACATTATAACATTGTTGACAGCCGCCGCATTATATCATGTAATAACTCCTTTGTTTAGTGTTTGGCATTCACCAAATACAGTTCAAAACTTAGTTCACAACATAATCTAAAGAATAACGGTAAAATAAATGGATTTTGAGTAGTACGCCGAAAAGATTTTAGGTTTTGAGCGTTTTCCCGCAAAAATACGTGACATAATAAAAAATCTCCTCTTGATAATTTTTAAAAAATAATACCAAAGCAAGGTTGTTTTTCATCAATCAAAAGCTAACTATCCTTTTTATAGACTTTCCTGACCGGCATTGTAATTCTAATCTCCGTAACCAAACATTTCAAACATTATCTCGAATTGTTGGTAAGTCAAACCTACTTTTACGATTTTATGCGCGATTATCTCCTTTTTATAGATGCGACTGAGTGAATATAAGTTACGGATGTACAAATAAGGATACCATATAAGCATTCATAGCTAACTTTTTGTTCGTTTCCATCCGTCAAAAGGAGAAAATCGCACCGAAACTCGCAGCAGAAGTTGCAAGTGCAAATAAATAGAACAATAGTTCAATATTAAGCTGAAGGTTATCAAGTCGATCTTGCAAACATAAGAGCAATACTGATGGCCTAACACCACCAGTATACCAGGCTTAATCGCACTAGGCTTTATCGTGGCAAAAGAGCAGGCATATGACTGGCATTACCTGCATGGTTCAAAAGAGGGTGACACTGACAATAAATGCGCTTCTTGTTGCAGTGAAAATAAATTGAACTTTTATTTTTTTCCACAAAGTACTACCTGCGGACATGTTGCACTCTTGTTGTTATGGTTACTGCGCTGGGTGTAATAGTTGAAGAGACAACTGATAATGGATATTCGCATGCCCTTGTCGATGGAGAGCGCTGCCAAAAACATAACGACGACCTACACCCAAGATTCAAAGAATTTTGTGAAGTGTTAAGAAAGGCGGACAAAATGTTTTATGTGATGCTATTCACTGCTGATATTGTGTTGGTTACATCAATAATTGTTCTTTTTGCTATCTATACAGAATGGATGCTTTTTACCATTTTGGTAAGCAATTAGCTATGTGATTCGTGCTCGATTTTTCAAGAAGTGCTTCATTTTCAATATAATGTAGCTTGATAAATACAGAATGTTCAAGAATATGATCGTTCACATACGATTAACCCTATAATCAATGTTCTAATATAATACAATTTATAAATTGTATTTTATATAATTATATATGCCTAAGTGTGTATATAAGTTTCACGAAGCGTCTTTATAGCATTATAGTCAAAATAAATTATTGCAGCACATTTTTAGACTCAATTCAAACTTCAAAGCACTTTAATAACGATGCTATTGGTTCTTAAAGACTTTTAGAACCAAGTTTTTACTTAAGAAATAAAATAATGGTGCAATAAATGAATCTTAGGTAACCAATTTTAAATCGTTTACTGTTTTATAGTGTATATATACCAATGCATCTATTTTAAAGGTATCTTTTATAAGTTAATTAATCCAAATGTGAACTATTTTGACAAACTCTAAACTGATCTGCCATCGAAGGTTCTTGTTTTTTTGATCAGGTAAAGTTGTAACTTTTTTCCTTCTTTAAAGAATTTTTATCACTTAATGCGAAAGTTCTTTTCTTGTAGAGAGTCGAAACTCGAAACTGGAAACACTCCATGCGTATGGACGGGAGATATGAAAGATTCTCTGTAAATGATGAAAGTCAGGGTGAAGAAACACAAATATCAGAAGTTCAGAGTGTCGACCAAGTTTCACTGCAGGCGGTTTAAAAACTGTCATTAAAAATTGTTTTTACTCAATTTACTGGTTATTATTGGTTTAAAAACCGTCATTATATTGTTTTTACTGGTTTTTATTGGTTTAAAAACTGTCATTATATTGTTTTTACTGGTTTTTATTGGTTTAAAAACTGTCATTATATTGTTTTTACTGGTTTTTATTGGTTTAAAAACCGTCATTATATTGTTTTTACTGGTTTTAATTGAATGTCATTAAATGTCATTTTAATGTTTTCTTGTAGAGAAACTATATTTGAATTTTCCCAACTATACTGTGAATCACGTGTTCCGGGACATCTAGATGTATATAGTTATATCGCGGAGTCGTAGCCAGGGTAGAAAATTTGAGGGGGCGACCAGTGAGTGGGGAAGCCACAAACCATCTAGGGGGGTCCGGGAAAATTTTGGATTTCTAAGGCTTGGAAACACCATTTCTCGCATTCTGATACGAGCTTTTAAAAGTAATCGTAAGGTTACAAATCACAAAATTCTGTCATTATTACATTAGAACAATGAAGGCAATACACGTGAAAAACTCTTTAGATTTACTGATTACTCGTTGCTTACCTAACTTGATCCCCCCTCCCTCATATTTCGCTGGATTTAAACAGTTCATGAGAACGGTTTTAAAGACCATTGGGGGGCAAAGCCCCCCCTTGCCCCCCTCCCCACTTGGCTACGCCACTGTCGCGAACCTGTAGTGCGGCTTACTAAACCACTTCACATAATTCAATAGGCTACAATTTTTGCACGAATGAGCCCTTAGGTTTCCCCTAAAAGGGTCAAGAGTTTTTGTCCATTCTAGGCAGTTGTTATAAGACATTTTAGTAATTAACAATATTGTTTCAGAACTGTAAACTGGAGCACTGTTAATTTAGTTATTTAATTATTTTTGGCCCAATGTCATATACCTAAAATGCCGGACAAAAAAACGTGCGAAACATGCCTGTCGATCTCTGCAGATTTCATTTTTTAACTCTAGCTTTTTAATCTTTATTAGTTGACGCGAGGCTAGCGTTGTTGCATGAGCTTTTATTAATAATAATAAATACCTTCGGAGTTTGTTGTTAGTGACTCCTAATTAAACCTGCTGAAGTTTTATCGGGCTAACGCTGGCTAAACCCGGATGGTTGTGTTCAAAGGGTTTGCCTCTACTTTTGGAGTCCATGAAACAACTAGGGAGAGGTAATTACCATAATTAATGCTCGTCTTGTAAAAGCAAATGAGGGATCATTCTGATAACATGGCGGTTTTAATATCTGCAGTGACCTAACATTATAAACTTGTTACATTGGACTGCTTGGAAGACCTATGTATATAGCTATAACTTAAAGTTAATAATCAATTTCAGTTAGCTTAATGTTGATGGGTGGGAGAACAGTGGTATATTGAACGCAATTCTATAATTCAGTTGTATTTCCTATACGATATTCGCAAATATTCATCACTAACTTTAGAGTAACTTCATTTGAACAATACACTTCCTTTGCTACTGTAATAAAAAAGATTTTTCCATATTAATTGTCAGATGGTATATCACCACGGGTACTCGAGTTTCATTTCTTTCTTACTATAAAGCAATGAAGGTTATGGGGAACTATAGCCCCTGGAATATAATGCTAAAAATAACGCAAAAAAGACTCGAAAAGCTCCATAGCAAAGCAAATTTTGTTTCGTAATCGCGTCCTCTAAACTCAAAGGCAATCGGAAATAATCGACGAAATTTAGGACCGCCCATTTTCATTTCGCGTCACTTGTCGGAATATATACACTTGAGAAATTTGAAAGAACTTTGTATATATAAAGGACTGAAAAAATTCCACAATCAAAATATATAGAAACAAGCTATCAGTTGGGTAATCAAAATTTGCAACGACAGACATCAGATTGGACAGAAATTTGAACGTTTATAAAACTTATATTGACAGAGTATATTATCCATCCACTTTCAAACCTGATCTGCGAACTCAGATCTCAGCAACGTTTGATTCGATAATATTAAAGTTTGAAGTATGTTGGAAGGATTGGTTGCTGATACGTTTTGGATAAAAGAAAAATCCGGGTATTTGGTGAAGAAGGTAAGGTTAAATCAGATACATAAATGACGATGAGTGTAGTTACATTGGTATATATTCAATTACAGCTTAGATATATAGCTAGTTATAACAAAAACGTTTCATGAAGGACAGTTACATAATTATAAAAACTCTATAACTAAATCTTTACGTATACTGTTTTGACATACAACTACAGTAGTCCAACGACGAAAACTCTTCACTCCGGCGGTAATACTACCAATATCAACCAACGGAACGATGTATATATATAGGTTAATTTTGTAACTGTAAAACGAATTTTGCGTTTCATTCTAATTTTGAGCGATCAAGTGGTAGCTTGCTATTATCAGATGGTCGCCACTTAGATCTAGAAGATACAATTCGTAAGTCGTAATCATTAAAGGGGAGACTTGGAGACTGCTGCTATAAATTAGTCGCTTACATGCAATATTAAATTATGTCGGCGGATAATCGTTTTCTAAAACGTAATTGGCTAAATTTCAAATACCTCACAGAAAATAATGACTTTTGTTTGCCAATTATCTATCACTCATGCAGATTTCACAGCTGGTTTCAATGTTTTCTCCATCATGATGTCAAAATACGAAATGCCATTCTCTAGTGACAGTGTCACACTTAAAAATAGCGAAACTGATCGATAAATGAAATTAACAGAAAACTTTCGAAACCTTTGAAACTATGCAAAACTCAGAATTAAACAAAGAGAAATCTGTGACTATATATATATATTATATTCTTTTAAAAACAAATCCATGACTTTTATTTCAAAGTTCCTAAAAGACCTTTGTGTCATTGTGTACATATTTTTTATTCCAATCATTTGAAAACTCTAACGAGTTTACCTTAGTTAAATAAAAGTTGAAGTTGTTTGACAAAGTTTTGTTTAAAGTGTTGCCTAGAAATTGAGCAGGTTTACGTCCGGGGGCGGAACTCGGAAGATATATTAAAATTTATCAAAAATAATTGCAGGAAAGAGATCATAGTTTCAATACTTGTATAATCATTAAATACACTATCATTAAATTAAGATATTTCTATATATACTTAAATTACAAGCTGGAATGAATAATATGCTGTAATTGTCGTTCTTAACTGTACTGTACAATATAATTGGTCCTGATTAAGTTCAATTTGAAAACGCCGGAACGCAAGTCAAAGATAACATGAAAAAAGCGTAACCTTCTGAAAAACCTATCTCTGTCTCTACGCTTGTTTGGTCGGAAAGTTCAGCCGTAGCATCACTTTCAGATGGACATTAAACGTAAAATCTTATGTCACGCCAGCCCACACGTTGGACGTTTGCATGTCTTTATAGTTTATGACTTTACCTGACCTCCGATGATCTTCGATAAATGCCATTAGGTGTCAAAGGGCAAAATTTATCAGAAAGGAGTGTTAGACATGAACTTATCAAATGAAATCAGTGCTAAATTTAGCAACAAAAAACAGTTCTCGACGTTTCGAACTAAGAGCCTTCGTTAGTAAACTTATCGTTTGTATGTCACCAGCTCTTTGAATGAAAGACTCAATTTAGATCGAAACTTCAAGCAATGTTATTGTCTATTTTAAGACATTTAAAAACAATGAGACTTTGTTAATTGTTATTTAACGCTTAACTCAATAACTAATTCTGTAAAAGTGTAATAAGTTATGTTATTCAACGCTATATACAGTAGCCTGCTGTTCATCACATCATATTTTCTGAAACATTTCTGATTTTAAAACTTTTTGCAATTTAGAGAAAAGAAAGGATTGTCAGAATCAAATGCAATGGAAATAAAGGCAAAGGTAGCATTTTTTCCACAACATTTATCTATTTCATTGTGAAACTCTTGAGTAATTTTCTGTCAAACTATGAAAATGTTATGTGCACTGATTGATCAGATTTTTACACTGATAAGCAAGCATTATTCCACTGATCAATTCTAAGAGTGTGCTATTTCCTTGACCTATTTTAACCAATGAAATGTCATTGATTACCTGCTAAAACTGTTTATTATCTGAAGCAACATTTTTTTAATTTTTAGCAATGCTAGAAGTGATGTCACCAACAGATATGTCAACTATTAAATTCCATCAAGAACTGGATTGCAACAAATGTCTCTTGATGTCGGACAGGTCTTTTAGAAGTGGGAGACTGGCACTAGTGCCATCAATTGCATTTGATAAACACATGAGCAGAGGACTGGTACTAGAACATCATGACCAGCATGCACTGCAAGAGTGGGAAGGAAGACTGAGGAGGCATTTAAGAGGTATGTAAGAGCTTGGGACAAAGACACAAAGTTTTATTTTGCAAAGATGACAGGCCATTGCTGCTTCATCTTGAAGCAAATACAATATAAAAAAATTCCCGTATTTGCAATAGGCAAGCAAAGTAAAAAGCAAGTCAGTTTCCTACTGAGTCGGAAACCTAGTGACACTAAACTGAATGCCACCATGCCAGTGCATTTGAACAATACTACAGGGTGTATAAAAAAACTGCAAATACCATAATTTGTATGCACAAGATCATAAATTGGAATTTCAATGCCTGTGAAACTAATTACGCTTCTAGGATTTGAAAATATGTTTCCAATAATATCAAAATAAGCACAAAAAGTGAATTAAAATTAGTGTGTCTAACAAGAGATTTAATAACGATTTTAGGGTTGAGTTGAGTTAAGGTTGAGTTGCTCATATACGTTAAAAACAAGAAATTCTCTTAGCTATGTTCTTAACTGAGCCATTCGTATTAAATCGAACTCATAAGTTTAATTCACTTTGTGTGATTGTTTTTATAACCCTAGAAAACAATCACCACGTGTTCAAATTCCTCTGAGGTCAATAAGGTCGAATATATTATCAGAGCGCATTGTTACTTCTCCTGCCGTTATTAAATTCATTTCGAAAATTTTTATAAATGAATAAAATAGGATTCACTTAGCAGCTAATACTGCGCATTGAACATAGTTACTGTAGCCGTGTAGTACAAATTTGCGACTTTGGCTTGCTGTCAGAAAATGGGGGTTCCAGTACTATGATTTCCCACTAGCTGACAGCAGCGACCTTCATATTTCACAATCACAAAGAACAAGTACCCCATGCTTACCTTTATTCAAACTGCATATAACACAATTCCTTTATTTTTAGTCGTCAGCTACCCAGTTCGTATAATCACAAGCCAAAATGGCAGAAAATCAGCAACACTTCATATCTCTCCCTCGAGGCTTTACCTCTCGCGTGGATTTCCCCCAAAATTCCACATGCTCGGTTCGTGGGATATCGCGCATCATGCTAGTAACCTCGTGCTCCTAAACCGCAGTATACAATTGAACGTGAACTACGATGGCACGGATAGACTCACACTAGCCACAGACAATGCGCGCGATATTTTTGAGACTATTTTTGGTTGCTATGGAAAACTAACACCACCCAAAAACACCGATATAAATATGGACCGCATCGTACCATCCTCTCGACTAAGACTGGGGTCAATGCCGACAAGCATACGAAATGAAATAAGTCTGCGCTCGGTATCAGGACGTTCATCGACTGTGTCGTTCTCCTGAGAACACAGCATAGCGGGGGGATGCCGTGATGGAACGTCTTAAAATTTGGATACATCAAGATCACCTGTTATACCAAATTCACTTGTCACGGTGTCACCTGATTTGCCAACGTTACATTGCTGAAGTACTGCTGACCGACGTCGCATCAATTTGGACCGCCAGCTCTGGCCCCGGCTAAACTTCCACCCGTTCTCAGTTTTGATGTATTTTTAACTTTAAACTTACCGTTTCATTTAAAAACTTTTAGATAAGAAAGTTTATTTAGCTTAGCTTCTCGGGAGGAAATAAAAGTCAGATTGTTTAAAATTTGTGTATTAGAACACAGCTAGAATATATTTATGAATTAATTTCTTATCGTAGAATTGATATAATTTACAAACTTGAAGTAAGGTCTAAATGGGGTCAAACGATTACTGAAGCCGTTTACTCTTAACTGACAACTAGTTGACAAAATGTCTCAAATGAAAACAACAAAAAGTGTTAATAAACGTATCAATTTGGAAATGACCAATTTACTGACAATAGTAAGGGGCCCCCTTGACAGTTCTATCACACACAAATCTATAAAATTCTCAATCCTTTAACTTCTGTCTGTTCATATACAACATTTCTCGCATGACAAGCAGCGAAGATGAAACAATCTGCAGCAAATGAAAGCGGTTTCAAACGCCGGAGCATTCACCATCACATTCACAGGGGCACGACGCCTTGTTCACCATGATACTGATACCACACATGCAATCTTCGTGACCGCAGCGACATTTAGCGCGGTTAATCTTCGTGATTTCTTGCCACGGCTTGCTTTCACTAATGCAACGTACCACTTGGGCCACCTTGGAAAATATGCATAAAATTGTCACGGCGTCTTGGTGACGAACAAAAGAAGACAATTAGCCGTCCTCGCGATGACGAATATCCGACTATTTGGGGGCACTTTCGATTATTTTAAACGGAAACTATTGTAACAACGTGGAAGAACAACAACAACGGAAAAACTTTTGCAATTTTCTAGCGTACCAACGAGCAAATAAAAGCTGGCAAGGTTGTCTTATCAAGTAAAATGACATGGTGAATTCATAATTTTCTTCTCACGAAGGAGCCTAATTAAGGATCACCATCTATGGGTCATCAATAGTCAATACACAGACATTTTTCTAATCTATATTAACAGTAAGCAAGATATCCGTACTTCATTTAACACAGGAAATCCATGTCTTGCTAATTTGGAGAATATAACTTTCCCCTCACAGTGAATTTCAAAAGCACCTGCAACAAGAGGTGCCATATTACACAAATTATTGCAAAAATTAATCGAGTTATGGTTGTAATGTATTTGTATGACTGTGGTTAATTCCTGTACCATTTGCAGCCATCGAGCTAAAAGTTTATAGTGACATGGGTACGAATTAGAATTAGAATTTCTGGTCCATACTTTCTCACAAAATCTATACTTGAATGGCACCTACATGTTTTAATTTTACTCAAATGAAATAATATTCTACCTTCTTCGTCTGAAATTGCTCCTGTCACCTCTGCTTTTGGGCTTGCTTTTCGAATCCAAGACACCAGTTCTGAATACAATTGTCTGAAGGCTTGGTCCTTTCTAAATGTTAGAATAGACCCACAGAGGTCTGGGAATGAAAAAGCGAGTACGGCTAGGATGGTTACAAAACTTGCAATATGTCATAACCCAGCATAATGTTCATATTATTTTCACATGTGGTTTTAAAAAAATAGTAACTACAGTTGATCACAACCAGTGCAGTGTAGTTTGAGGAACCACAAAAGGCGCAAATATGATATAGTATGACGGCCTATGTAGCTATGAAGTTAATCCATAAAACATGTTTAGATGGAGTCGTGAAATAATGCAGCTGTCTCCTGCCAGGCATAGTGCAATCGTAGTAGCTATGCGAATTTTAATAAAATTTATAACCACCCAAATTTGGAAGTTTAAATTAAAAATAAAGCAGTGCAGCTACAGTATATTGTGTTACAATATTATGTTACATTGTGTTTGTTCTTATATTCTGAAAATTTAAATAAAAAGGCAATTAAAATGAAATGTCTCAAATTTACAAAACAAAAAGGCTGAACATTCAGTAACATAGCATGAAAGTCGACACAGTCACAGCGTAACACCATATTTTCGTGAATAATTCGTCCCCTCGGAATATGTCATTATATCATGATTATGTACCAACGCGCCAAAACAATGCAAGTTGCCAATTATTTTTCGTCTTTGAGTTACCCCAATCGAAGTTCATATAACAGTGAGATATTTATCACTGAGTCCGCGAGGTGCACACGTAAGACTGACTGGATTATATTTCTTATTAGATACTGATAAGAACCAGTTAGATTTATTTAATTTTCCAAAGTATTTAAGAACATATCATGACAGCTTGCCATTGGTATCTTTCTAATTATCGCCACAGGACATATAAGGATGCATCACATCGCGAGAATGTTACCAATGTTAAAAAACACCAAAAACATCTTGACACTTAAGATTGGAATTGAAAGCACATAAATACATTATTAAGAGTACTTTTGTAGGAAGTTTTGATTTTTAAATAGTTATTAAATTCACTAATCAGTTTCAAACAACAAAAGACTTTTTCAAAAGGCCCTCGCCCAAAACGGCGCTAAGTTTTTTTTGTGGCAAAAAATGTTATATCCAGTCCGTTATGACGTTAGTAGAAATCGGGTTTGCATCGAAGGCTAATAATTCAATAAGACTGATGCTCTCAACTGCCACAAATAAAATAATCACATGTCACTGACTAGCGCTATTTAAGGAGAAAAAGATAAGATTATCTTAGCATTCCTGCGAGACATCAAACCCAACGAGGCAATGGGCAATATCATTTAAAACTCAGCAGGATCTTTGCAATGAACATAAGAAATTAATATCCGTCAAATATAGCGTGGGGACGCACGCAGGGAAAAAAATGCAGACACGCAAAGTCGAATATCCTCATATTTCAACTCATCAAATTTCGATAAACTGCGCTATCTCATATTCTAAGAAAATAACAATATAATATTAGAATCTTAACGTATAAGTAAACAATTGTAGGTCTCGTGTTCATTTTGACGACCTGATGGAAAAACCATTTATTTCTGTGACGCATTTTTAATGCGGTGATCATATATTGCCGCGCAAAACTGAACGGTATGAACGGTATACTTCGTTAAGAAACCGGACCTCGGGGGAGTTCGCTTGCTGTTACAACTTCGTACAAATGTCCTAGAATACGCAAATGAAATGAAATCTTGGATGTGTGCATGGATACAGTCGTTTTAAAAAAGCAGCCAGGTGTTTTAGCGACCTACCAACGTTTCACGTAAAAGATACATTATTATTTATGTAATGCATCTGCTAGTCATCAAGTCTAAAACATACGGCGTTTGTTTTCACTCGTAAACTACATGCTTTAAAAACGTTTGTTTGTCAACTATCTTTGCTTTTGCCATTTTTTGAGACGCGTGTACAATACGTTAATTGTTAAACAGGAAAACAAGAGTACACTACGTACAGAGAGTACAAATCCCGTGTCACAAGCAGGAAAAATATATTCACTGAATAGCGCAACACAGCACATCGCTGCCCCCAATTTCCTACAATCACGCAAAACGAGGACGCATATTGTGTTAATATTGCGCTTCTTCTTTCTGGAATTTCTTAAGCCATTTTTCATTTTTACCATATATGGTGTACACCTACCGTATTTACCATAAGATACGCATTATCCTAAGCTAAAATAGTACAAAAATTCACAATCGGTAGCACACGAGGCAGTACAAAACAAAAAATATGAGCAAATTATGTTCGATTTAAGACAGGCGTGGTGGCCTCTCCCAGCATTCAATGACCCATTCCCACAGATATTACAGTATTGCATTCAGTACTTCTTTTACCAAGATTGTTTGAAACATACGATGCCTTTCAGATGTATTATGCACTATGCAAGTACTTGTAGTATTCTAGTTACAAATTTGTGTCTGAGACTGAATGAACCTGGAAATGAGTGAAACAGCATGAGTAGAGGCTTCTCGTTATTTCGAGGTTTACGAGCTGACGCGCAACCGTTCCAGTTGAATCATTCCAGTTGTTCAAATACAAATCATAGACGAGTATAACGTTTAAAATATCGAATTTGAGTAACTCACCCCATTTCGACTGTCACATTAACCGATCTGATTGAAACCCTTCTGTGTCGTCCAGACATGCCGTTACGCTGAATGAATTTGCTTAGCGTGCGTATCTCTTTCAAATATCTAAATTGGCAAGAATAATTCCCAAAACGATAGAGAAATAATGCGTATACGTATTCCCGGACGCCTTTGCAATAAAGAATAATCTTCTTTAAGTGTTTACTCCAGTCAAAACAAAGGATGAAAAAATTCTCCGTAGTGTTTACGAGGTTTACGCAGAATGAGGGTCATCAACTTGTTGTAAACCGAGATGGAAGATTGTTTGAATTGTTGGGATAAGTGAACGCCCGATGACAGACACGATGTCGAACGCAATCGTCTTTGGAATTTTACCAAATTAAAATACACGAAAGCCATCAGCGTAGTAAGATTTCTTCCATAAAAAACGAGCCCATCTATAATCTACTCAAAGCATAACATAATCCATGTAATTTGTCGCCTCAGCAAGCCACAATGGGAATTTAGAGGATCGTAGGGTATACATCCCCCATTCCTACTAATAATACTACGACCAATAAATTATAGCAGGTAATGGAAGTCTTCCACCTCAGGCTCGGGATTTTATTTCCATTGGTGAATTCCCTCCTTTTTTTTAATGGGCTTGCCTTTGAACAAATTTGAAATCAGCCGTTGCCTAATGTGCACCGTTAATGCATGCGGCTAATCCAGACAATACTCTTCAAAAAAAACCCTAATGATTAACAGCTGAAAATTTTTCGGTTTCAAATTGTTCTGATGTCGTTAACGTGATCTGAAAGACTGAAACATGATGAATTCAAATTGAAAAATATAACAAAATTAAACGTCATCAAGGGAATAAAAAAAACTCAAATCTCGTTATATTAATTTACTACAGATCTACTTTAACATCTCTTAAAATGGCGTAGTCGACCATGGTCGAGTCGGCCGGAAAATGGCGTAGTCGACCATGGTCGAGTCGGCCGGAAAATGGCGTATTCGACCATGGTCGAGTCCGCCGGAAAATGGCGTAAATTCATTGATTCGGTCTTAGAGTACTGTTGCCCAGTTTGGCACACCAACCTACCATCGTATCTTAGCGAACAAATTGAACGTTTACAGAGGAGAGTTTTAAGAATATTTTACCCAAGTTTATCATACAGAGAAGCACTGTTTGCTGCAGATTGCGTATACGACGGGATGAAAACAGGCAACGTGCATGTGTGTTTTAATCTCTTTCAAAAGATAAAGTTTAACAGTGATAACAAACTCACCGCACTAGCTTATACCTATACAATATAGGCTCAGTGAACATGGTCGATCACTCCGTAACTCTGATAGCTTTTCTATTTTTGAGTGTATGGTACGGACCGATTTAAACGCAGCGTTAACCCAAAATTCTACAAATATATGCAGTCAATTATAATATAATTTTAACGTATGCAGGACAAATAGTTTATATCTAAATAGACAATATTTTAACAATATCTATATAGTTATTTATAATCGTTACAACTTCAACTTGTTGCAATATTTAATGCATGTATGTAGGAGACAAATAGCGTATTTAAATTATCCTGTTATATAGTTATAAATATAAAGTATTTCACTTCGGTGCAATTTTATATATATTTATTAAACCTTAAAACCAAACCAAAAAATTGGCAATTTGCTAAAGAAACGATGAAATTCGGCGAGACGATCGCAACTATCATGAGAGAGACTATTATTAGAGAGACTCTTATTATTTCTTATGATTTCAGTGGTGTTCTTTAATTAACTAAACTCTCGAGTTTGCAAGATGATTTAAAGTTCGCACTCTTTATGTACATATATTCACACACGGAAATAACGATTGTATTAAAATTGATTCAAGCAAGTCCGACAGTTTTTGAAAAGCAAAAATTGTCCCCGATCTCCGATATCATTCACTCACCACATCTCGCCTGCTTTCGTTTAGTCAGACCGCGTCTCTCCCCTACAGAGGATGAGTCTGCCTTCTATGCCTGCCGAGTTTACAACGATTGTTTTCAGATTTTTTAGTTTTAGTTTTTATAGATCTTTCCAGCAAGCTACAGTCTTCGTGTTTCATTAATTCCTGCACTGACATCCACGCATTTGATATGGAACTATTTTTTGTTGGAATCCAGCATTTAATAGTTTCCTTTATTGATCTGTATTCAAAAATAAGGAGGTATTTTACCTTTTTGAATATGCTCATAACTTCACTAATTTCCAACGATTGCCACAATTTTGCCCAGAGCAGCTATAACAGGATAATCTGGGAGGCACCTTGCACTCAAGTTAAACTACTTTACATCACCTGCCTTGGTTATCTGACTTCCTTGTACTCTGTGAAACCATGGCTAGGACCTCCTAAGCGATATATTCCTACAGAACGATCTTTTGAAGCCGTCACAATATCTGGGATAATAATTAGGGAATTGAACTGACTGTGATGTCTAGACATCTAGGGACATATAGGGATAGAAAGGAGAGAGTAGTTCTTATTTCACATTGGAAAAAATTGGGTCACGTATTTATGCATAAGTTTAAAGTCCTTTCATTGTCGTCAAGATTAATCTTTAATTTCTAGCCTCATTTTACCTTATGGCGCATCAATTTTTCATATAACAATCTGTCCCATGCATAAACCACACATAAACTGATTAAATGTTTAGAGTGTCCTCCTTACGAGGAATCCTTATATTTATATATCGAAAAAACAAAAGGATACATTCATCGAATGGTGAAATATCCATATCTTCAACATCGTCCGTATGACTGAATAGTTCATCCAGAAACTCGTGGCGGTCAGAATATCGACGATATCTTAATGTATGCAACATAATAACATAGTAAGATGCGACAAAGATGTCAAGAAAAAATGCATGCATAATAAATTTCTTTGCAAGCTTTGACATCGCAACAACTGACAAAGCAGTGTTGATGAATTTTGAGAGCAGATACTGAGATGTTGGGGCCAATATATTTTCCGCCGGCGCTCAAAAGCCACTACAAGAAATATTCTCGGCATACCTTCTCACTACTCCTTTATCGCAAGCTGTGTAGAGATAATTACCATTTGACGAGTACCTGAAATAATTAAGTGATACACATTTAATGATGGGACATTAGTTAAAGAAAAAGCCATTTTTTCTAAGTAGGGCTTACGCAGGCTCCCTCAAAAAACACCAACGCTCCTCTTGAAGGCCCTGAATTACATCACAGGCCAAAGTTAACCTCTACACTGCATCAGCATCGTTTTTGCATCGCACCACTTTATATAAAACTATTTACTGTTGAAACTATTTGTTGTTGTATCCCTTCTCACGATGACAAATATCCGCTATTTTTTGCTTACTTTCAATTTTCCCAAACGGCTTTAAACAATTATAACAGTATAAAAACTCGCGATTTTGAAAAGCGGCATCTTCGTCATCGCGAGGAAGACTACTCACATCACTGCTTAGCAACACTGTCATCAATGTCCACTAAGTAAAATCTTCGTACAGTACTATAAAGACCCCTCTTCCAAACTTGGTGATTAGGGTCTACCAGGATTCACACCCAGTGTGAAATCTGTTAGAAATCCAGCACTGGCGTATAGCTATTTAGAAGTGATAGGTTTACACGTACTTAATTTTCCACAGTGGCACGTCTCCGTGTTCAGTCATAGCCTCCTGTATTCCAACATCTGGAACATAACTCGATAGTTGTTCACCGCCGAACATGACCACGCCTATGGTAATACAAGGATACAAAAGTGTTGACCATTTTTGTTGGATTAAGTCATTACTGTAATACGAGTATCGATAAAAATTGCGTTCTTCTCAGATGCATGCGCTGTTTTATGTGAAAGTTGATAAAAAAATAGAATTCTTAAATAAAAAGATTCTTCAGAGACGCTGTAAATTGGTAGGGAGAGCAGTAGGGAGAGCTGCACCTCCTGCCCTTCACCTACATTGGCAAGGGGAGCGAAAAAGCTCTTTGAATATAAATTATTACATTGTATATCGTTGGTAAAGTCTGATTTAAACAGGACTTGCAATACAGCCAACTGACTTAAAAAATGACACATTTGTCTGTTGAACATCTCAAGACTGAAATAATGTTTGTTTGGAGCACCATGTTTGTTTGGTCAAAGAGCACCATGTTTGTTTGGTCAAAGAGCACCATGTTTGTTTGGTCAAAGAGCACCATGTTTGTTTGGTCAAAGAGCACCATGTTTGTTCAGTCCTGTTTTCATAAATGAGGAACATTGTGTGTATTTTCACCTGTTTGGTGGCTCACATAAACTCCTATAACCTAACAATCTTGTTGGGTCAGTAACTCCAATTAAAACTAAAATTTATCATAGATTCGAAACTTACAAGAAAGCTATAAATTTTTCACTTGTTCAGGTGTACAGATTGATCTACTGGCAACTTACTGCTGAAGCCATCATCAACCATAGAACCGTACTTTTCTGGTGTTTCTGCAACACTGTGTAGAGTTGAACCAACATCAATTTCATGCAATGTTCTACCATCCAGTGATGTGACCTGTTTGGAGGCATAAAAGAAGTAAAGGTCTTGTTGATTTCTTCCATGTTTGTAATAAGGCTTACATTTTAAGACTGTACCTTAGCTATACCATTCTCAGCAACAGACAATATTGCTGGTTGTCCTTTGCACCAGGGCCAACTTTCATGCAAAAATACAGCATCACGGATTATATCATCATAAAGCTAAAGTACAACATAACTAAAGTCAAGTCAATTGCATGGATTTTGCCAGTATGTTGTGTACTGTACTCATAGAGTATACATAATATTAATATCATGTATAGCAGACGATTAAAAAAGAATACATGGGAAGAACTGAACAAAAAGGAAGAGTAATATGAAAATTTCAGTGAAAAAGACGTTCTTGGCCTAGCATTTTATAACAAGTTCATATTTTTAGAAAGAGTTCTGATTGAAAAGTTGGAAAGTACTGCCAAGGCACAATTTCTCTTTTTTAATTGTCTGCAATCAATAGTGCTTGCATTTCTTGTAAAATGTAAATTTGTTTTGTATACAATATTATATATATGCTTGACACTTTTCTTGGACAGTAAGTATTGAACTATTATTGACGTATAAATTCTACCTCATTGACAAAGTCAAGTGGCAAAGGCATTCTAAGATCAAACAATGCCAATCCTTTTCCATTTACACAAGCACATACAGCCAGGTTAGGGCCGGAGTGGGGGTTTACTGCAAGTGCTGTTCTGTCTCGACCATTGTATGTACCTCCAGATAGAAAATAAAAGTTAGAAAGTAAAGAAACTAATATATGAATCAGGAAGATAATGAAAAACTAACAACAAATACAGATCAAAAAGTTCTTATGGTCTCTAAGTGATGAGTCACAATCGCACTTTAAGCGATTGTATTGTATCTGTGCCTAACAGGGAATTGTTTAGAGTTGGAGAAACTTTCTTTAGATAGTTAATTGTTACATAATTGGTGGTATTAAAATTAAACCATTAACTGGCAGCACAGCACTGACCATCAAAAAATCAATAACTAGTTATTTGTACAATACAGGCTGGTACAATTAATTTCAGCTAGTTGAGTGAGCTTGCATGTCAGCTAGCAGTAATAGCTTACAATTGTCATATGAAAATATTTGTTCTCCAGTTTCAACATCTAAAACAGCCAGACGTCTCACAGTTGTTGTTGCGAGAACCTGAAGTTATGGTAATATAATTTGTTCAGTATACAATAAATAAATATATAATAATCCAAGGAGTTTATTTGGAAACTATAACACATTACATTACCTTTTGACCATCTGATGTAAACCTCACACCATTTATATTTCTTGCAAGACTCAAAGTTGTTATCTAAAAAGATAATTTTTTTCCAGTTATGGTATGTTTAAACAATTGTTGCCAGTTGTTTAGCCTTGCTCTTGCAGTTTAGTGTCACTTTGGTTTCACAATAAGACTTCATTAAATTAAATTTAATTACCCTTGCACTTCCCTTTTGTAAAAATAATCCAACTTATTTAATATTTACGCTAACAGGTGCAAATGTATTTACTCTAACTGTCTAACATGTGGTAAACTTATACACAACAGCAGAGCGAATTATCTATATCACTTGCCTGATAACTACCAAGAAGATGACATTTCTTTGCACTATATATATTTACTTTACCATCATATGCACCAGAACAGAACAGATACCTATCCTGAAAAATAATACAAATAAAACATTAAGCTCATTCTCCATTTGCTTTTCTGTGTAGAAGTTGAATGACAAATATCTGAATACAAAATTGGTCAATAATTGGGAAGCAACTGTAATTGGTCCTACTATTTCCCAGTTCTAAATTCATTAAACTTTATATGGTTATTTATTAGTAATTTAACCATGCACACACAGTACTTAGGCAATTATTCCTACCCATATGATAGAAACACTGAGTTTTCCAAACCATATAAAAACCTGCTTCTAAAAGTTCTATATGTAGTAGACAAGTGAGCTTACATAATGGTGAGGTTAGGTTATAAGATGTAATAAGCTGTATACAAGATATGTTCAGTGGTGGACTCAGATTAAGTCAGAATAAATTACAGTGCCTAATTTCCAATTCAAAATACCTTGATAACAACTTTATTGTTTATTATTTCTACAGAATATTTTTCATAAAATCTACCAATGTGATTGCCAAAGTAATTTATTCTGACTTTGGTATTATGTTGGGTTTGGTGGTGGGGAGGCTGGGTTTATTGTGTGGGCACACTTTGCCCATAATGGTGCATGTGTATGCTAGGCATTAGTATGTACACCTCAAAACACACTCTTTGCCACATATATCCCTTGCTGATGACTTTAAAATCCAACATAAGTACCTTTTTTTTCATTGCTAACACTGTGTTGCCTGTTGGTCTACAGAATGCGTTTGAAGTGTTGACTGTTGTTACATATTTAATACAACAGTGTAGATGCACTCTATTTTACATAATTCCCATAATTCTCCAGTGTCAACAATATATGACAATATATATGTATATCAAATATATCTGGTGATCTGGTGAGACACATAGATATGTATATAAAAAATAAACTTCAAATTATACCATGGGTGAAAAGGCCACTCCACGAACGCTTCCCGCATGAAAGTACAAGTACTCCAAGGAATTTTCGACATCCATAACATAAAAATGATCCTCGTTATAAACTACGTCTGTGTTTTAAAATATGGCTAGGTGTCCGTAAAACACCACTGGAATTCATACCACGATTATCCCAAATGCCAAAAAATCTTTTGAAACCGTAATTTTGAAGGCATATCTTTTGAATTTTGATTCTTTTCTGTCCAATTGAATGACTCTTTGACTATGTAGTAATTTCTGTTGATTAATATTCTACGCGTGGGACGGCATGCGTGGAACACACGAATATCCCGCACGACGCACGTATGCAGTGAAATCCAAAGTGGAGCTCTATAGTTACATGACCGATCATGGCGATCAATGCGGTTAGCCGGTTACGTCGTACTATATAACAGTAACCGTAGCTTTATACGGTATAAACGTAGCATCAATGTAGCATGTACAAGTATGTACATGCCTTCAGTAATTTTGGCTCAGAGCCAAGGGTGACGATCCGTCTAAAAATTGGGGGGGACGAACTTTCAAAATGAATAACGTGATATTAGCTAGATTAAGGCAATATGTATTATATTCAGTCATAAAAGAGTGAATATACGTTTATGGGGATAATTAGATATTCGTCCACCTCACTCCAAAAACTGGGAGGACGCGTCCCCCCTCCTCACGCCAAACCCAGAGCGAAAATTCCTCAGAAGTGAAAGCCCCGGAATGGTCTCTGTCTCCGATAAAGAACGCAGGTTCTGAAGGGTGGCTCACGCATGTCACATACCGGCGCAAGTTTTCCAGAAGCATGCTTAATTAGTTGGCTCATGCATCATAGACAACTTTCTCACGATGACGTAATAACAACATGGAAAGCAATTATTTTACAATCAACGGACCATTTGAAGAATAAATTTCAGCCTAAAATTAGAGACACTCGTCGTCACGACCTACGAGGTCTCACGCTCACGATTTTGAAAACAAGTACCCCCAAAATGGGGGGAACAGCATATTCGTCATTGTAACTGTTGTCTATGATTGGTTGCAGTGAACTGGTTGGCTGCTTCGCTCGGCCTCCCTCGTCGTTCGCTCATAGTCAATCCTGTATTTTTTTCCTCAACACTCCATGCTTCAATTAGTTCAATAACCCCGCGGTAATAAACATTGAGTTCAGCATGCGATTTCGGGGAAATTACCGAGAAATGAAATAGGTTTGTAAAAAAGGTTTTGTAACTTGTGTATGTTTAAATACGAAGACGACGGAAGTTTGTTATAGTCTGAAACCAAATTTGTCGGAAATGTAAGTCAGTGTAAAATAGAATATACACCGTGTCATTGCGTATGGATGATGCACTCGAGCATATTGCGCCGTTTCAATGTAAAGCTGGAGTGCTAACAAAGGAGCAAGAAAGGACTAAAGTGGGAGTCATATTTCTAAATTTGAGGTTGCAAAGCAGTTTTTAAAGATAAAAGGCAAAATACCATAAAAGAGAAAGAAGGTACTCGTGAACCATTAGAGTAAAACGATTATAACTAGCAGGATACTAGAACTCTATATTCCGGAAATGCCTTTTCAAGCTTTTGATGTCCACAATACAAGAAGACGATTTCATTACCTTCGTTGTTTAACCTGATATTGCCGATTCGTCGCTGTGTATTAAGTATTTTTAACCAGCATGATGTCGTTGATGTGATGGAAGAGATGTTGCAATTAAATTTAATTACTTCAAATAAACGGAAATTTTTTTATTGTAGACATGTTTCTACTTAAGCCAATGCTGTAAGCTCTAAGTCGTGTCTGTAAACTAATAAAACTATGTAAGTCGAAACATGTCTTTTTCAATTAATTGCTCTTGGGCAGATCAGGTCAGATGTTGTAATATTGACATGACTTGAATCACGAGTTATGGTAAGGGGTTGTCTCAGCAATATAGTCAATCATCTTGATGAAAATATAAATATACTGTTGACAGCGTTACTGCAGATCATATTAACATGCGTGCGAATAGAATCGTATTATTCCTTTTTCACCTTTTTAGTCTAATGATAAAATAATTTTTTTCAAGAATTAAGCGACACGTGCTCCTTATTTGGACATCATGTAAATTCATGTTGTTTTATCCAATTGTTAGGTCATCGCAGGAAACGGTCTCAATTCACAGCGAATATTAAGAAAAAGATCCTTTTAGATTCAAAGTAATTATAGTTGTGACCTATTGTGAAATTTTATAGCTCTATTCTTCGACTAACAATCATTCGCATCAGCAGCAAAACATTATTGAATAATCCGAGACTCGGGTAACAGTTGGTAACAGACTAACAGGCGGTATATTAAGCCTTAATTCTTATTAAAAAAGCCTTTAGATAAACTACGAAATTTAAGGCGCATGCGCATATAATAATATAACACTATACGTATTTGAAGTCTACACTCTACAGTCTTCTCTTCATTAATAACTGTAAAACCTTGGTTTTTGAAGAGGTAAAAAGTATTATAAGGTGAATTGCTTAATAATCTCGAAGTTACTGAACAGGAAAGAGCATAAAGTGGTTACAGAGCACGCGGTGTAGTTGGCAACAGTTACAAGAAACTGTATTTATTTATATCTGTATTTACATAGTCTGATAGTCATGGAAATTCAAAATACATTACTCAAATAACTCAATAGAGTTGATGATCTTAGAAAATGAGTTTTTGGGAGGGCCAAATCATATTTATGCTCCGCAAGCTGGAACATCCACAATATTACTATATTATTGAATCGTAATTCGTTCGGTTGGGCTCAAATAAAAGTTAGCGGCCCAAAATAATTATTATATATAATTATTATAAGTTCTAAATTGCTCGTTATAGTCAGGATCCTGTCATAATCCCTACCAGTGATGACATCGTTCGACAGAACGAACAAAGATATAAAAGCATGCAGGTGGAAATGAGTACTTTAGTCTCAAGCAACGGGTTTATAAAAGGAAAAAATCCTCATTTCCGCAGAATTACAATCATCACGTGTATACCATGTGCGTATTGTTTGGGTCCAAAGCGATTTTGAGGCCAAGTCTCTAGATTAGACAGGCCAGAACGAGTTTTTCAAGTCCGGTAAGAGTCAATAATATATCAAAGTATAATAATGACTATACTTGAATTATATTTATATAATATGTGTAATTTTGTTCAAAAAGCAGCTGTCCATCCATACCATATATGGTGTTCAACCTAGTTTACATGCGCAGACAGACAAACAGCTGCGTCAGAGGAACGCCTTTACGGTTGCAAATCCATAACGCCATCCAAAGCTACGAGGTAAACACCGTTTCAAAGTAAGCGCTATTGTTGTTAGGGAAATAACGTGGTCATAATTGTTATATTCTAAAGATGGCTTGGTTTACAAATGTAGTCGTTCTTCTCACCTGTATCGCTTGTAACGTACTTAGCAGTACAGTCACTGTTATGCCTGCAAATAGTACTATGATGATCCCGTCTGCAATGAGTTCCTCTCAAGTTGTTGATAAGGATTCGTCTGCGATGACTTCGAAAATGATACAAGCCACCACCACGAAAGTATTAGGAGGTGCGCCAACGGCCAAGGCGCCAACGGCCACGGCTATGACTTCTGCTCGTGCTAACGAAGAAGCTTCAACCGTTTCATCTAATATGGGTACGGACCAAAAGAACGTGCCGATGCCTTCAAGTGTAGTCGCGTCCGCCAGCCAGAATGCAACGTCGACGACTAAAGCCCCTGGAGGTAGTTCTGGTTTCATTGTACCCAACCTCATTGTGTTGGGACTTTCCTCGTTGGTTTTCTATCTATTTTAAACTTACAGACTCCTTGACAAGCACACTGAAATTTGGCACCCCTGTTTTGACTTTTATTTAAACCTAATATGGGAATAGGGAAATTAAGAACTTTAAAAAAATCTAAACACTCTATGTTATTCTAATGAAATGTGAAAGTGTTACTCTCAATTTTTACTTTGTACACTTTATTCTTCAATATCATTATAAAGGTACATGTAATGTATTGATATTATTAGGATAAGATATTTTCTTGCACGTTCTTTATGATAAATTAATGCTTCAAGGACTAGTGGAACATATAGAAGGCAAGGACAAAGAATCTTTTAAAATTTTGTTAGTTCCGCTGCAAAAATGGACAAATTATTGCTGTATAACTGTATTTATATTTGATATTAAGTCAGCACTATATGTCTGCGTGCTGAGTTAAGATGCTGATATTTAAAAGAATCGTGCTGCGCACATTATAAATATTTAAATCTTTCTAAGTCATGTAAAAGTAATCAAGGATTGTAGTTGTATATGCTTTGTCTGTATTAAAAAAGGCGCAGGAATTTTCTCGTTTGGGTTTTGTTTAATCGTGTCCTTTTGAACGCTTTCGACTTTGAGACATGCATGCGAGGCGTTTTGCAGGTGTTAAAATATACTGTCCGTAACTAAGTGATATATTGACTATTGTAAGGATGAAGTGTGTTTTCTGTCTATCATAAAACTTTAGATATATCCATATAATACTATATAAAGTGTAGTAATAAGTGATCGATTAGTGACTACCGATAGGATTTATTGGTTCGAAATCTATAAAATTTTTTCAATTTTTTTGTGGCCGTTAGGATGTTGTTATTCAGTTAGTGTTACCATGCAAAGATGTAAATGTGTAAATATAACTTCAGTTGCATAGCGATAAAATAATTTATATATTTGTTCAGTTTTTTCGCAATACTATTATCCTGATCAATTGCGATGCTAGCAATACATTACACTTACAGTGGCGCGGCAATAGAAGTGTCCCGACTGAAAATATCAAGCAACTCAAATATTTGTTCAAATTTATCAGTTGGCTTACGGAGTTATTATTATTATTATTTCTAAGTCTTTATACAGGATAAAAACTTCAGTTTCTACACAATATTTATACAATAAAATAAAGTGTGACAACTGCTATCAACGTTTGTCCTGTAGTTTGTCCTGGTGTAAATCAAACATTTGAAAACTCCTAACTTTGAGATTACTCAATATTTTTCGAAACGCTTCTATTGCCGGGACTATAATGCCGATATGTTGCCAATCACTATTATGATACACTCCGCGTTTGTTTTCTTTTATTTTGTAGGCTTTATAACTTCAAAATATAAATTGTAAATCATTTAAAACCACCTAGACTACTAGCTTAGTAGCAAAAATAGACTAGGCACCTGCTGTGTGATACCGCAGATCAGGCAACATTTCATACGCCGCGGAAAACAAAAGTAGCTTAGTAACCAATGAAATCGCAGGCCGCTCGGGGAACGAGATTGCTTGGTTACCGTGAAAATACTGGATGATGGCCATCCTTAAACGTCAGAAATGAACTGACATTTTCAAACCTGTTGGATTTTTCACAAACCGAATTGCTAGCTTTAATGAGACTTTAACGACCACATTAGTTGACCTTATAATCCTCGTACCCAGTACCTCGTACCCTCGTATTTTCGCGTGCGCAGAAAGCCATGGATTCAAGACTTCGAGGATGTGACAACTTGGTGACTGACTACTTATTCACCAATTTCGTTCCCTGAGCCTGCATTAAATTTCGGACTTGGACTTAGGCTAAGTATGATCACTATGATGTTGGGCCGAATCGGTCTCCCCAGTCCCCATATTGGTATAAATAAATACAACATTAGTATAATGCTTTTTTTTCCTTTCAAATATTTTTTTGTTACAGTTGCCCTTGTGTGTACTTACCCTCCGTCATTTTTAAAAAATCCACCACCGCCCACCGGTTACTGCGTGGGTTTCGCTCGTCGACTATTCGCTTTTGAACACTTATTCACTTTGCTTAATTGTTAAGAATATTTGCTTAATTCTGTGTTGGTATGTGATAATGAATAACACGATAATAGTGTCAAAAAAATTTCAAACATGAGCTGGAAAATATTCTTGGTTTTGCTCTATTTATATGGTGTGGCCACTGACATTTGCGAAGGTGTGTACTGTGGATTCTCATGCACTACATAAATTAAAAAAATAAAAGGCAAATACTGTATTCAGTTGTGTTGGATGTAACAGTGCCTCTTATACCTTAATCAGTATTATTATATAGTTCAAAATGCATGAAATATTTACATTTACTGTTTATGCATTTATGTTACAAGAACTAGGGCAGAGAACTTTGACTACAATCACATGTACGTATATATGATTATGAGCGGATTCCCATCTAAAAAGAGAGATTTTTCTTGTGTAATGTGTCATATTAAAAAGCCAAAAGGTTCAGTAATGCTTGGAGTCCATGTTATGTTTAGTACTTTTCCGGCTTTCTGCGTGCAAATCGTAGTTCAATATAAACATTAAACGGAAGAAGTTATTCTTTAGCAGCATTGCCAAGTTAAATAATGGAAATTTTAGATTATTCCAAGCTTTCGTTGTACTACAGCATCTTCAGGAAAGATGAAGATGCTGTAGTGAAGATATGTCGTACAAAGAAAGCTTGGAATCATCTAAACTCACATTTTTAGACAAATATATAATATTGGCAACAAAGCCGACGATTCTCACCAGGAGGGGAGAGTAGCTTACAAAACCTACTACATACTACAACTTGTTTTCCTTGGAGCAGTCCAGTTTTAAAAATTAGGGTTCTCTTTAGTTGGATGTTGAACTGGAACTCCTCACATATTTATCATTTAAGGAGATGATTTTGATGACAGTCATTGTAAAGAATACAGAGAGATAAAAAATTCCTCACTCTATGATAGAAATCCAGAATCTGTTGGGGACCTTTCAAAAAGACCACTTGGATTTCAGTCTGCTACGATTCCATTTGTAGCAATCAATCCCAATGCAAGAAATCCTTGCTTTAAGATATTCCTTAAAAATAGCACTCAACAAACTGTCCAAGTATTGGTGAGTACTTATTGTATGGATGTTCTTGTTATACAACATAGTGCGTCAACAAAATCAATGTGACTTCTCTCAAACATCTTGTGAATTATTGATTTTCCATATAGGCTAAAAGTACAGTTGGTGATACAGTGTTTTGGTATTGAAATTACTCTATTTTTTATCTCATTCCTCCAAATTTTTTATTTGTGTGAATCTCGTAATTTTTTGACAGACATTTGCCTGAATGTAAAGCCTGAATGCAATGCAAAAATTCATATTTTTTAGTGTTAAAAGTCAACCACCGTACGATTTTCCAACATGCCAATCGGTGAGCATCTCAGACTCTCAGTATCGTGTTACACCCACTGAAGGCAAAACTAGCATATTGCATGCATTGGGTATTTTCACGCTATAGTCAATTGTATGCATGCTGGATAGGGGATAAGTTAAAATTATAGACAACTCTTGCCCATCTTGTGAATATGTCCTCTAACGACTTTGCATCAAACTGACGTGATTTAACTGCATGCCTAAGATCTCATTATAATAAACACTGTAAATGTGGTATAACAAGTAACAACTGCCTAAAATAGACAAAACACTTCTCGACGTTTCGACGTGAGGGCCTTCGTCATCAACTCTCCTGACGAAGGCCCTCAGGTCGAAACGTCGAGAAATGTTTTGTCTATTTTAGGCAGTTGTTATACCACATTTGATGCTAAGTTGTTTGAAGACGCTGCCACGCTGCTCCCCAGTCACACTGTTGCGTACGCCTATGGATCTAACAGTACATGTGGATCATGATGGAATCATTGAAATGTGGACACATACGACTGATGACTCTTATGCTTAAACTCATAATTGCTTTTTATTACACAGGGTATAAAGACGTGTCAAGATAGCCCTATCGGTTATAATTCTCTCAAATATGTTTTTTATTGTCCAAGCTGTGATGCTGAACTTACTATTTGGTTTCGTCTGTCTGTCAGTCCTTCATTTACTGATGGTAAGTCACACACGAATGAGGTCTTAATTTGAAATTCATTCCCTGCTATAAATACCTTCGAATTCCTACACGGCTTTTGAATCAGGCCTAAACAAACTTAACAAAGGCCTAGCTGCACGTTTTTTCGGAAACCGGTGTAGGTTCAGTGTCCCAAATGGAAAATCACTTTTATATAGAATTCATTCACCAACGGATCTTTCCCATCGATCCGCGTTAAAATATTCACACACATTTTCCATCCGCTTTATATCTAATGGCACATGTATTGAGCTTCTCTGTGCGTTAATTCCAGGCCTAGATTTTGAACATTGGTGTCAAAGGGAAGCGGAGTATCCAGATAGTCTGATTACTTTGCCTACAGATTTACAACATGGAACAACCCCTAAAACAGACCAGGAACCCCGTCGAAATTTTTCCATAAGCCCTTCAGCTGGTGGTAATAGAGACGTTTCATTTACCACGCCCATGGGCATGAGATCGGGTAATACACAAAGATCTGTGACTACGATGACGACTTCAAGCTTCAACACAACAAATTCGCCTAATGGCAGTGCGCATTTCCTTGTACCGTCAATACTTAACCTAATTATGTCGGCTATTTTGTCGTTGGTTAGCTATGTTTTAAGGTTAGCCTAACCAGCTGATCTGGGTATAAAAATCAACCAATCAGAAGCCAGATCTTCGACAAAACTGAATTATCATTTCCTTCATTGCATATGACTTCGACACTCGAAAATCATCAAGTTATTTTTTTATATTTATGTGAAAACACGTTTATTTTTTTCCCAACTGCATATTAGAATTTAAATTTTTCACCCTTTATACTATTAGCTCGATAAATAAGGACAAATAACACCAGGCACATGATAACTCAGTTTTGTGGAGACGCTTTATGACGTCACGATCTCAGATAAGCTGGAAGGAGAAAATCATACTGATTTATATCATTTGCCTGCTCATAGGTATGGCATCAATTATGATTTTTGGCACTTCACTCGATGCAGGAATATTCTAGAGGTTGAAAGGGTCTTAATTTCGAGTGGAATTATACACACTTCAAATTCAAGCCAGGAACAGTTGACAAGAGCATTGCACCGGCATCGCAAAAGCGTAGGTTCGATTCCTGCCGGAGGACCTATAGTTGACTCATTTTTCCATCAACTGTTCCTTGCTTGAATTTGAAGTGTGTATAATTCTGCTCATAGGTATATCAATAAATTACCATGATGGCGCATATTAGATATACCGTTGGGGGCGCAATTTCCAGTTTCGCTCCATATTCAATAAATGATCCCTAAGAACTATAAAAAATCTAAACGGTTGTTTGGTGTCGAATGTTCTTTGCGCCAGCAAATTAGTCTGGTCCTTATTGCGGTTACTGACAATGAGCTATATAGTGGTCTCCCCCAGTGAGCTGGTTTCTCCCTCGTGAAAGCAAAGACTTTGGGTACGAGGTAAGTTATACCTATGGTTATAATCTGGCAAAAGCGAAAGAGAAGAACCTATAGTTCACTGCATGGCTTTTCTTAATTCAGAACAAGCCCCAGAAAGATGATTAACCGATTATCACAAGATTATCACAAAAAATTGAAATCACCATTTCTGCAGGGGGATAGTCTGTACAGTTATATTTTCTTGGAGAAAGACTTTATGTGAAACTTCTAAGGGGTCTGTTTTGGGCCTCGTCGACGGTTTTTTCTAAGGTCATGTTAGAATATTTCAGAAAAACCCTCCCAAATATCCTTCCAAAAAAGTTCTAAACCTCACTGGTAGCAGGCTAATTGGCTAAACAGCTCAGAGCAAAACGAAATACAAAATTGATAAAAGACCATAAAAAATTGATAAACGCACAAACCATAAAACAGGCCATCTAACCATAAAAATACTTTCTTCTTTTAATGAACAGTACACATACTAATCTATATATAGGTTTAAATAGAAACTACCTGCGGTATATGTTCAGTTTATAGTCTTACATTTTAACCGTGAAAGCCTAAAAGAACTTCTAGTATAATCTACTTTCAAAACTGCGTTGAATTTTTTGAACTCTTCGCTAACTTTAAAACGTATCAAAAGTTAAAACTCATAAAAGGAATAAAGTTCGTGTTGCCTTTCAACTGAAAATCTCTTGGCATCTTTCTTGACATAAATGACGTCTTATTTTCAGCGCATATAATACAGTACAGCAGGTAAAATAAGGGACAACATTTGAACGAGAATGATCAACGGGAGGACACTTGAAGCAGACGATCCTGGAGTTGCTGTATAATTAGATGTTGGTTCTGCACTAGCGCTGACGGAAACTGATGCATCAACGGTTGAACTACTTAGAATGAATGACCCAAACACAACAAGAAGAGGCAAAAGAGCAGATACGAATTTCGATTTGTAAACCATGTTTCCGCAACAATTGACAAGAACTTCGGCACGTTCAGCAGCTTTCTAACTTCCTTAATGTAGCTAATAAGGAAAAAATAGATAGTTCATTAAATGCACAAAAAGTTACCGTAAAAACTCTATCAAAACGAGAAACTAACCTTTAAAATATTTCAACTTTTAATCAACCTTTCGTCCACTAAACGAAGCCAAGGCGAAAAGGAGGAACCCTCGTGGAAAAATCATTTCTCGCAGGCGTTCATGGGAAAAATTAATTCTTGTCACTGATTGGATAAAATTGTAAAAAATTTAATCATCGAGGAGGAGGTCACCAGTCACCCACCCATCACCATGGTGAAATCAAAATCACAGATGAACCATTATCTCATATGTGGTGAAATCACAGTACAAAACTCGAGTGAGTTATTGATTGGCATAAACATACCATGAAAATCATATTGTTATAAAAATCCGAAATTAAGGGCCGTACAAGGATGTGTCGCCATGCAAGGGATTGGCAAGGGTGACACCATGAATTTTTTGTCATTATAAAGTTAAAATAGGTATCAAAAACCGAGGTTGTCTAACGGCTAAATGCGCAGCTTAATACAATAAATATTAGAGTAAAAAACAAGCATTTTTTTTATGTATTTCACCATTTCTATTAATTGTGATTTCACAAAAGTTAGCATAGGTTACGCAACAATGTCGCCGGAAGTTCTATGCCTAAAATGCACAAGGCAAGTCGGAAATATAGATTGTTATGTTGGCGGGTTTGCCTGTTTGCAAACATTATACGACACTAAAAATTACACCTTAAAACCTCGTCTAATGATAGAGCGATCAGAAAAATTTCAAATATGATCTGGAGAATATTCCTTCTTTATTTATATGTCATGGCTCTTAATATTTGTACAGGTGCGTATCTTATTTAATTTCAAGAGTATAAAGAATACCGTAGTCGATTGTGTTGAATGTATTAATGGTGCATTAAATATATTACCTATGTTGGTATCTATATAATGCATAGAATAATAATGATGCACGATCCAAGAGGATACCCAAGGTTCTCAAGATACTGAAAAATTCATTCCAACTTCGACAACAAAACGCTCAAAATTGTTACCGTATGTATACGTCGAATGAATATAATCTTAAGATAAATTTTATAGGACTAAGCCCCGCAATCTAGTTTTAACTAGTTCTTTAATGCTAATTCTTACACCTTATCTAAGAAAGAACATTTTATATTATAACAGTGGAATTCCGGTATAGAAAGTGGCGATTCATTATGGAATGTATTGGCTCCAATTTGTATTGTGTATATATTTCATAAATTATTATGTAATGTTTACCTCTGCCGTTTTCAGGGTATTTCAATTTTCTTAAGGGTTTTAAATAATTATAAGAATGACGTTTTCAGGGTATTTCAATTTTTCAAATAATTATAAGAATATAAAAGTAATTTTTAAGAATCGAAAGATCATTCAAAGAAATTACATTTAGCTTAAAAGCAGTCATCATGATGCTTCTTTCATCTATCTTAAACTACACCAATAGGGATGCTAGTCTGGGCCTCCGAACAGCTTATCATTTATTCTCATCTAATAAAATGAATTCAGCTTACCTACTTCCAGTTGGAATGCAGCTAGGGGCCACTTGTTTAAACAATGGCTGGTTAACTTAGCCCAGGGTTAATGCAAATCTTTACATCAATTTTTTTCTTTGCTTGTTTGTAAAAGTTGAATATTCTTCCATGGCTATTTTCTGGTTTAATAGAAGTCATATTTTGTAAAGTTTAATCGAGGGGCGGTGCAGAAGCACATAAACTAAAACATATATTTCATTTTAGGAGATGATTTTGATGACGGACATTGTAAAACATATATAGAGATTAAAAATTTAACAGACTATAGAAACCCTGATTGGATAAATGACCTTTCAAAAAGACCACTCGGCTTTCAGTCTGCTAGCATTCCATTTCTGACAATCAATCCCAATGCAAGAAATCCTTGCTTTAAGATATCCCTGGAAAATAGCACTCAAAAAACTGTCGAATTATTGGTGAGTACTGTGTGTTTTATATGTGTGTAACATAAATGTCCCCCCTAAAAATTACATACCTAATAGATTAACGCCTGTATTCTAAAAGCTCACTCACACTCAAACTCATTGAGTGGGAGATCTTAATCTTCTCATAAAGTTTCAATGGCGGTATTTCCAGCCGAACAGGGGCTTGATTTTCAGTGATTTACCTTATATCTTTCCATCTATTCAGAAAAAACTTTCTCATTGATCAGCATTAACGAAAATTATATGTCACCCTCGATGAGTATGAGTGTGAGTGAGCTTTTTGAATACAGGCGTTAGCCTCCCTTACTGTCTTTTGGATTGTCTATGCTTTAAACTCTATTGATATTTAAACAAAATGAAGGTATCTCTTTTTCACAAATCATGCAAATGAAATTGAAAATTAATGAAGATTCTTCTCATAGGCTAAAAGTACAGTTGGCAATACAGTGTTCTGGTATTTAGATTACTATATTTTTGTTGATCAATTTTTTTTCAGATAAATAAATTTGCATCTGAATGCCATGCAAATGTATTATTTTTCTTAGTGTTAAAAGTCAGCCACCATATGCCCAGCCAACATGTCAATCGGTGAGCTGTTTTGTATGATCATGTATCACATAGCATGGTATAGAAAAAAAATCATTATCCAGACTAATATAATCTAATTATGTGCAGACATATTTAACTTGCATGGAACTTTACCTCACATTTGCTTTTTTCACACAGGGTATAAAGACGTGTCAAGATAGCCCTATAGGTCATGATTCTCTCAAATATGTTTTCTATTGTCCAAGCTGTGATGCTGAACTTACTATTTGGTTTCGTCTGACCATCAGTCCTTCATTTACTGATGGTAAGTCACATATGAATACACTGTCTTTGGAATTTGTACCATGACCATGCCCATCTGTAATTAATAGGCGGAGAGGAAGTTTGTTTTAAAAGTTTTGAAACAGAGATTATTTTGAGTATCTAAGATTACTCTTAAATAATCCAGTACATGTTGCATTGGTGAATTCACTCAAATTTGATTGTGTATTATTTTGACCGATAACAAAGAATATTTATCAAATTCTTGTAGATGTTAATTATTGGAGCTGTCACATCCTACCAGTTACTATGTCCCTAAAATACTTTTCAACTAATCTGAAAGTTTTTTAGGCTTTTTCTTTAGTTCATATTATTATTAGTTATTGGCAGTTTGCCTTGTTTAGTACTTGCCAATGTAGCAACTAGCAAGTGAAGTGGGACTCCCAACACTTGTAACGGATCAATATCAAGTTAATCAACCTAGACGTTATCTATATTTCCCTCACATAAATATACCATATTACATAAACGTCATCAATGAATTCTATTAACTCGTTTCCTAACTTTTGATTGCTTTGTAAAGTTGAAAATTTACAAAGATTGACTGGGGGGGGCAAAGTTTCTTCACTGAAGGGGTCAAGGGGGGGAGTAAAATAAGGGGCTGAAGGGGAGAGTAAAATAAGGGGCTGAAGGGGAGAGTAAAATAAGGGGCTGAAGGGGGGCATTCCAGTTATATAGTTAAAAAAGGCCCCGAAGATTGATCACAGTCTTTATAAAGGTTTAATATATGTTGATCCTTTCTGTGCTCAGGTCTGGATTTTGAACATTGGTGTCAAAGGGAAGCGGAGTATCCAGATAGTCTGATTACGTTGCCAAGTGAACCAACTACAAAACAACAAACTACTTCGAAAGCAAGTCAGATGTTTTGGGAATTTCGCTGGTATTTGTCTGTATGCTTTGCCTTTAACTTAATTCTTGCGTTAAACTGAATCATGCCATCATGGGAGTTGTGGCGACGCTAAAAATTATATCAGTTTTCACATATAATGTCCCAGTACGCACCAAAATATTCAGTATTCACGTGCTTGACTTTCGTTGAAAGTATTATAATTTATATCAATTTTCATATCCATTTTCATACCAATAAGACAATAGACAATACATATTCATTTTTTAACACGCACCAGTATTAACAAAGGTTGGGGGTAATGACTAATGTAATGATAAGTAATATTTATGGTTCTCAATATTATGAACCAAAACTGTTCAATTTAAATTAGGAATTATTATAAGCAAGGTTTATTCAACTTGATGTTGATATGTTATCAAGCAGTTTCATAATAGATCGTTTGATTATCTCGTAAACCAGTTAAAATCTTCATAAGATATAACGACATAAGTTAAAATATTTGAGTTAGACTTAACGTCCATCATAAGGATATCTAGACTATAGTATGCTTTTCAGCTTTTGAACTATAGACATCCGGGTGGTGATGGACGCTCAGTCTAAACACTAAATGACTAAAAGCTAGATTTTGTTTGATCATGAAATAAAATTTCTTTAATCAGTTCCAGTCCCTTTTCTCACTCTCTTTTTATGTCACCAAAGTAAGGGAAAGTTAAAGGTGTGTCTGAGCCGTTTAGAATAGATTTTATAGCGATATCATTACGATTCGGACAATCGCTATAGTCTAGGTCACAATGCATAACTTTATCCATGACGACATCATTTCCGATATCGTTTCTTCGGTGTCAGAAATATCGATAACGTTGCCCCGGGAAACGTTTATCTAATTTAAGATATTCCCTACGTGTGATTTAATAGCATTGAGTCAGCAGCGTTGCATGTTGCCAAAGGCCAAATAGCAACAAGCGTCCGGTTTTGAATACTAATGAAGCTGTTCCTGGTCCTTTTCGCTGATTGGCTGTTCAAAAGCAGGTGCTGCACGTCCGTCGTTTGTCAATTGGATATTAGGATCATTAAAATTCTCAGGAACAACGCGTTTTACGACTGATTATTCGTATTCTTAAAATGTTCCGTATTTAATGTTGAGTCATTTTGAGCGATTAAGAAAAAGTGTAATTTTAACGTTTGGGGTTTCATATACTGCCCGGATAACGTGAGCTCTTCGTTAAATTGTTAAAAGACTCCTGAAAAAGTACAACAATACTTTATACAAGTAAGGAAAGAACCGCCTTAAAAGACTGTGTTCTTGAGTATCGCCTCTAAATACAGGTACGTATACGTTTGTTTAATATACATCAAAGGTATAAAAGTTAATATCAACTTATTTCTGCCAACATCAGTCGTCAGTATTAAACTGTACGTTCGCTGTCAAGAGAACTGTCGCATTTGAGACGTCGGTAAATTCGTATTTGTCCGTGCATGAATGTGTTGTTCACATGCATGGGATTCGCATACCGTGCTGTTTACGCAAGACGAAATCGAAATATACATGCAGTAACGCAAATTAAAATATGTACGACTTGCAATTTTGGTCTCGTGTGCAACTTTCGTGACTCTTTATTGCATCGGCGAACAATAATATGTTTACTCATTTTGGATCAAATTATATAGACTGGTAATATAGGATCAAAATATGATAACTCTTTCAAATTATTGTTCATGAATATTGCGGGTAGAGCTGCTAAAGCCTATATTTACGGCATGGCCCATGGGAATAATCTTAAGCGTTCCTTAATTCTTATCGTATATTTTGATATGGATAGACTGTAACATATGTTCAAATTGATTTAACTATTTGACATTGAAAAGGATGAAAAACACATATATTTTATTTCAATGTTTTTGAATTGCGGTTTTTATTTTTTCATCTTGAAACCATCTTATGTATATATTAATGGTTGCGGTTTCTTTTTCTGCATGTGTAAATTATTATCGAGGCACGTTATTTACCATTGCAATTTTTGCTGCCATTTTTATCCTATTTTCTTTTTTAAATAAGTGGGATTAAGTCAAGAATTCCCCAAAAACTAAGGCTAAGGAATCTTAGCGAAACATAATCCTAATTCATAACTAATTTACTCGTTATATCTATATATCAAAACGTAAACAGCGTAAATGTATATATAGCCGTTCAGAATGAGCATAAGTCATAACCTATCACTTTGAGAAATAACTGGGCTAGAAATACTGGAAGAAATACAAGAACACATAATCATTGAAATGATTTAACTCAACTGTTTATGATAAAGAGTAATTCAATCATTCAATAAATTTTGCATGTTGTAGCTATAAGTCTGAGCGCTAGCGAACATCACATGTAGTGTGATCCATCTCTCTGAAGAAAGTTTAAACAAATGGAGGTATATAATTATGAGGGAGCGAGCCTGTCCAAACAGGACTAGTGGTTTCTTAATTTAGTTTTCCTCGGTAGGCATGAGGCATGATTTTCTTGAATAATCCATGATATTTTTTATTTATGATTTTTGAAAAAAGATCTTATCGTAATGGAGGGCACCCCTTTGCATATAGTTCACTTTATTATTGTCATGCCTGCATGGTTATACTGTATTTTTTATGCATATTTCGTGCAAGAATTTTGAGCACACGGTCCAAGACTACAAAAAGATGAACATGCATGGCACTAAAGTTGTCCGCGCAATTCTATAAGACTATATCAGTTTGGAGACTCACGAGTATATATATATATATGGCGCACACAGCTACAAATAATGTATTAGAATAGTATTCTATTACGAATTTACGCATTTTGTTTGCATGATTTTCTTATATTAATACGTTCCTGGATTTAATATAGTCGAGTGCATGTCAAAAACGTTTGATTCGGCTAATTTTGAATATTTATCTCACAAGCACTTTCATTAACTGTCTAAATTATGTTTACTTGTACTACACAAAATATCCAGTTGCATATCTTAAACTAATCAGTTATGACTCCTTATGCATGCACCGCGCATTTAGTAATCCATGATGTGTGTTTTAAATTTTTTTTATCTCGTGCATGCATGGATATCAAATAAGTCTAAAAATATTTATGTCATGCAGCTTATTCTCTGAATGATTAGTCAACTGGATGCTGTTTAATCGTATCAATGTCTTAAAAATAAAAAGCTTTTTCTTATTCGGGCTCAGCGACGATATTTCCAGCTTATATTTGGTCATTAATCTTTTTATTTGTACTTTGCGTTGCAAAATCAGCTGCAATCGAGGCCATGTAATATCAACCCCTTCTCCTATAGAGCTAGGCATAAGGGATGATCGTCTACATACATCAATACAACTTTCGTCCTAGTTTGCTATTTTGTCCGAGGACTTCTGAGAGAGCTTCACAAAACCAGGAATGCCTGAGCGATCAATTTTTGCAGGGTAAGAAACCCGGCATACAACCAAGAACGCCGGTTTTGGCGCGCACTATATACCTTGACAATATTATATATTGTAACTCATCAATTTTCATTAACATCTTTGTCTTTGAGCTGGGTTTAATGAATTTTTTAATCATTTTTTTGATAACGTTAAAAGCAATCAGTTTTCACCACTTGTGCTATACGAGCACGCGCGATCCTGTAGTTGAGAGTTGGCCAGTTGGAAACCGATTATCACGGATGCATGCCAGCAGTTTTGCCAGTACTTAGACCTCTTGCTAAATTCGTATTTCGATCTTAGGCAAATTTTGATCGCACCAAAACGGAATGATTATATATTTTTCATTTGCACTGTGCCAACACTCGTATAACGGAGATCTTTTGCAAGGTTTAAAATGTTCAATTTCGCCGTTTTTTCTGGGTTGTAGTTGTAAAACATTTTCCTTGTGAAAGTATATAGGCAAGGAAGGATTACTTTGTTTCTCAATACCAAATTTTAGTTTTTTACTCAGTTCGCCTGGCACGTACGAGGTTAATTGACCAAGCCAGGCTAAGGCGGTGCTCGCATACTCAGTATGAAAACAGACTGGGAGGTTTACACAAGAAATCACACTTTTACCCTGAATGATGTAGATAAAAAGTGCAGAGAGGAAAGCCTGGAAAGGGCAATTTTAGTTGAACAAACTGACAACACTGCTGGGAAGTTAAATGTCAGGGAGAATTAAGCCTTCCTTTCTTTCTTCCTTTCTACGAAATAAGATAACACACTCGTGGGGTTCTGCACGTTTACAAGAAGTCCCAAGTCTCAAAATACTACCTTTGTAGCAATATATGTCAGGCAGAGAATTTTGGTGAGGATAACCATACTAGGTGTCCACCACTTCAAAAATAAATACATTAATATTCTTGCACGAGCTGCGATGTTACATGAATTGAAAATATATAAACATTCTCTGAACATCGAGGGGAAAATGAGCCACTTCCAAAGAGTATGCTTTTCAAACTCGATCGAAAAGCAAATTGATCGGAAATTACGACATGACAACCGTGTGGTATTCTCTGTAAGTATGACGTCATAAAATTTTGCACGCCCTTCGGAACAGTTTAGACAAAGAAATGCTTTATATTTAAATGATCAGGCGAATGACTTTTAATGGCCGACGTGTAAAGGAAGGTTTTGAAGGAAGAGGAAATTACAATAGACATTATGCAGAGTAGGCGTAGGGATATTTTCGTGTCGTCACGATATTTCCATTATCGTAAAGTTAAATCGTTGGATGTTAACATCGTACGTCGGTCAAAAGATAAATATCGACATTATTAGTTTAAAGGCAGGTTGTTTGGTTTGAGGTAAGCCTTCATTTAGTACTTGTAGAGTAATTTGGAGTATGAAATTGCAGAATTGTTTATGGACTCTTACGTTCGTAAATCGAACTAAATAATGGCATTAATGCTTCCGCTTTTAGCTAACACGGTACTGATAAACTGACCCCCTACCCTTTTAATAAGCTAAATTTGATAGAATTCGATTCATTCTTCGCGGCCGTGGGCCCCAATAATCATTATTTACGTGCTATTTCATGGCTAACCTCCGCGTATACGAGTTAAAATTATTATATAATGCTAAACGAACAACCATAATTCATAGTATTTCCCATGACGATCATATACTATAATATTATACTTGTATACTTATATTAAAAACTGTATTGTAACTAGCTCAGAAAAAAAAAGAGATAAAGAAAGCATAAATCACCGTTTAAGTTTCGTTATCTCTTACGAACAGTAAAGCCATGTCAAAACGCATAAGATGTATTTACAATAGTCAATACATACGTATTGACGGAACTGAACAACTCAACAACACGGTGTGAGAGTCTGGAGTGATTAGGCGCCACTTTGGTAATAATATATATACATGGTTGCTAGACAGTTAAAGTACAATTTAGAAACAGGCAAAGTCGGAGGTCAATACATCTTGTAAATGTACCGGCCACTGTATCAAGAAACTATCAAAATCACATTTGAAATTTTTGAAGGGACTGAAACGTATGGCAGGCATGGCTTTGAAATTTATGTCGCGTCGTTTTTTATAGAGGCGTACTTCAGCAAAAAGCTCTGCCTTTAGTGTTCGGGCCGGGGACTCTGGCTGGGGTTTCACTCGGACTCTCGGCACAAATATTTAACATATGTTGAATATTTTTATCACAAATGAAGCTTTTCTTTGAGCATAGGCTGGAACTTAAGTGAAGGAAACAGCTTAAAATAACTCACGCACGCGTAGCGTATCAAAGGAAAACAAAATAATGCAAAATGTGGGACGAATAGGATCTTACATTGCATGCTCTGCATCGATGGAAGTATCGGCGATTTTATCAACGAAAATGTTTTCCGCTTTGAATGACATCAGTTCGATTAGTACTAAAGACGGATGATCTGTCCGGACTCTGGACGAAAAAACGTAAAATGCCTGATGAAGTCAAATGAACTTCGAAGCATGATGGATACATTGACTGACTATCTCACGATGTATACTTCGCCCAAGTTTGTCCAGACGGTTGTTCGTCTGTAATAAATCGGGCCAATACGACATCCATGTCTTTATAGTGTCGTCTTGCGCGAAGGCCAAACAGACAACTATATATAGCAGCAGTACCCTGAAATTGTGCACTGTCGAACTCAATGAAAACAGTTCAAAACACTACCTGTTGTGAAGTCGCATTGTTTGGCAGCAAAATGTAACCATATCATTTATGGTGATGTGTCCAATGTCACAAACTCACAGTAATATGTCAAACGTGCATAGGTTGTTTACAGTCCACATCCTTTCCAGTTTCCATGTGTTCGAATTACAAGCCTGCTTGAATTCAGTCCCAGACTCCCAGATTTCAAATCAAACAGAAACAGGAGGGGTTTCAGTTTGTGCGGCGAAATGTCGCGCAAATGATTTTGCGATCCTTTGCTTTTGATGCGTGCAATTATAGTGCAATATTAGTTCCGCATGACTAAAAATTTGAATAGAAAGCGCTACAAAAATTGCCCGATACCTCGAGTATTGCACTGATGTAGTTGCCAGGACTCCATCACTCACTGTATAGCCTAAATCCGTAAACCGCATAGAAAGGATCCTGCCGCGTACCGTTAGCATATACTTATTAGATTACCCGTCGAATGGCCCATGCATACAGGTTTTTATGCGTGTATAGTATAAAAATGGGACTGCAGTATTTTTTCCTAATGCGACTTTTTGACATGCGCAATAAAGCCTAAAGGCTTACTCAATCCTTAAAGTGAGCTACAACCAGAAAACGATACCGTTCGAATAATTTTAAAACCAACTTCTTGTCATTCGTGGAATAACTTTTCTATTTGTCCGAGCATGACAGCAGGACAGAGCGATAATTTCATCCTCATACCTTTTTTTCATCAAAAGCTACCTGTTTTTTTAGGCTGTAAGCCGGTGTTGACAAAGACATGTGTCAATATTTAACACACCTAGCATGAGAATAATCATGCGAGATTTTAATACGTGCATCTTCCTGTAATCCGACATGCATGAATATCATCCAAAAATATCATATGATACGTATACTATAAACAATGTCTCGCAGTTAACGAGCGAATTGTGAATAAGCAAATTTAATTACGCATGAATTTTAATATTCTATTTGCTACGCGAAAGTAAACAGACGTTGTTGTGAACGGTTATTTATCTTCCTGAGTAATGGCTGGTTCTTTTAAATTATTTTATCAGGATCAATCCCGAAGGAAGTTCCTGTATAAGATGAGTATGGAAAGATGGAGCAGTATGCAGGAGCTACAACATCAGGAGGATGGCTTTCAAAGTAAGTAGCTTGTCATATGATCGAATATGGAGTGTTTTAGACTATAATAGGAAGGTATTGTGACTAGAATCGTCTGGTTGAGTCACTCAAGCGCGGGTTTAGATCAACATGAATTTGTTTGATTCATTAATTCACCGGAATATTTTGTGTATACAAGTAGTTGCTATTATTATCGTCGTCAGTAAGCGAATCAAGAGACCCCGCTGATTACCTTTGAACCAAGAGCGATGTTGCATTTCCTCCAACTCAAAAGCACATACCTTCTTGATATTTCATTTGACGTTGCCACTGTAAATATTATCGAACAACTACAAAGATACTTTGGCTCGTTTTGTTAATAAATAAAGACGATTTTGAACGTGAGAACCAAGAACAAGCGCTGTAATACTATGTCTTTGTTTCACGATCGCCAAAGCATTTCGACGCATCCTCGAAGTCGTAGCTTGAAAGAATTAAACACGTTAAGATCCGATGATGACACGTTATCGACGCCAACAGCACCGTATAGACGAAGACCCGAAGTGGACGACTTGAAAATGTCTTTAAACCGAGCGATGATCGAGAGGGAATCATTGAGCAATGATTTTCTTCGAAGGCCCGGTAGAAGATCTCGATATGATACACGTAGAAATACGACTGGGTTAACAGAGTTTGAAATTCGACAAAACCAAACAAGTAAACTTTTGATTTTTATCTTTTGGGTATTGTATATTACTGAATTCTTGGCAGAAACAATAGCTTATTAGACGGATAACTTCAGTATTTTGCCGGATATAGATTTATTGCCTTTGAATTTAGATACAATCGTTTACGAAGTAGGTTTGAGCACGTTTTACGTACAATTGTTGTTTGAATTTCGATTTTCTACGAGTTTGCGTTTGATATTTGGTCTTGTTTTTATGACTGTATAACTGTGTCGTTGGTAGGCTTGGGAGCTTAAAATTTATCGTGTTTTTAACACAGAAAGATAAGTGCCTCTTTGGCTTCACCCGAATTCGTGTTCAATTGAGCAATCATTATATTTGTGGCTAAATGAAATGGCCATTCGACACAACCAAGTGTCCGCGTGCAAACACATATTTTAAACTATAATAGCCAAAATGTTTGTGCTCTCAGCACGCATATAAACTGTCGGCATCACCTTAAATACAGGTTATAATATCATGGCAGAGTTTATAGGACTCAAAGAGAATTCCTACAGCTGGATTGCGACATTTACTATTGAATTGCGACAGTGGTCACAATAGAATACTCTGGTAGCAATGCAAAATGTTTAAGATTTTTGCCAAATACGACCATCGGTTGCTGATATATTTAAACCAGAAGATAAAAGCAATAAAATGATTTATAATTTTAAAGTAAAGTACGCTTATCCATCTTAATCTATTTCATCAATATACTGCTTCACTAGCACGAAATGTCTATGTGATAGGGTGGTGAAGCCAAACCATTATTTTTGCGATATTTGGAAAACTATATAGTGATCAGGCCCTGTATTGCTGGATCAGACCTCAATCGTTTAACAATGATTGAAAGTGACGTTATAGAATTTATATTTTATCATAATTTCTTGAGAATTTCATATATGAAATTGTAGAGCCGAGTTTTTTTTCTCTTGTCATATTGATTTAAACGTGTATTCTTGTTTTATAAGCTTAAATTTTGTGTATATGACGCTACAATAGGAACTTAGAAAGATTAGAGCAATCGAGCGAACGAATTATATATGAAGGATTACAAGTCTATTGGATTTACCATTTTAGGTTTTAAAAATTATACAATGGATTTTTACATGATCACTCGATGATAAAAAATAGTCAGATTCTAATTCAAAGGGTTTATGATTTTTCGTAGAGAAATCAATTAAACGCAGCTATTTTGAGTTTAGGATATGACATGCTTACTGGGATTATAAAAAATTGTGAAACCAGACACCTTTTAGATCAATGTCGATAATGCAGCTGTTTTATTGAATGCTGGACTGTTGGGACATATTTACACAATTCAATCATAAATGCATGCACGTAATACTAGCAAGCTATATTATCACGTTTTCATCTTTGACTGTCTCCAGACTCCAGCTGTGGTGTTCTTGCGTTCTAAAAATCTTAAAATGCATAAAAAAGCATTGAGTATTTTTATGAAAATTGTTCATTTCATTCAAAGTATATTTGAGCTCAATTTTGTTGATAGATTTCGCAAAAATTAATAGAGTTTTCAGCCCGCTATTAAAAACGAAATAGATACAAAGAGACCTATACATGACTGATGGCTCGTGGTCCATGGTAAATCATCATCACAAATATGCAGTTCATACCTGGGGACTGGGGTAGATATTTTAAATCCATTACAACCTACTCGAAATGACTCTTTTATCGTGCATATATGCAGGCTAACTGGTACATACTCCTAGTACATATGCATGTATATCATGACCATGAATTTAAGAGACAGGTGTAAACTTGCATCACTGCTAGCAACTGTTGAAATGACTCTATATTGACATATCACTGATGAAATGCAGTCTGGGTGTTTGTTAATATATATATGTTATGACTGGGTAATACTAATTGTGCAGACGAGTGCCTGGAGCTACATGCGAATGAACGTTGATAAAGGAATGATTATTTCTAACCCCACAGAATAGTATGGTAGACATCATTCCAAAGTGGAGTGATCTGTTTCGCATAGTCTACATAAGAAAGGACGGAAACAGCATTTCATCAAACTAAGTAGCACTAGGATGCGGCATGTTCAATTAAAGATATTAGTCGTTTCCAATTCAATGTACACTATATTGTTGGTCTACTCACAGCAAGAGATCAGTTCATAAAGCTAGTCAATAGCTATACATCACAATTGTTCTTCAACTGCAACAACACAAGCAACATGTCCCCACAAAGACGTTATCGTCCTCACATGCATGAGTTACTTGGTCACTGCAGGGTATATACTTTTGCTATATTTTTATCAAAGACCACTTCGGAATATTGGCCTCACCTTTTATAACAGAGCTAAATTTTATGATGGATAAATTGAAACTTAAACATTTAGTCTTAGACATGCGGGCCTTAAAAGATGTTTTTGAAATGATTCCACATTTTATTGACGCGGTGTGTAGGAAAACACGAAAATATGGATCTTAACTTTAAACATATGAGTCTCAACTTTAAACACGAAAATCGTCCCAGTAAAACTATATGTCCATTCCTGTTTAGCAATGCACATGCCTTGAATCACAATAGAATGCAATAAATGGTTTAAATATCAGGAAGAAACACAAATTAATTCATTCAGCGATTTCAATAAAGATTAAATGGAGTATCACTGTCGTACTTCATTTGTAACATGCAGTTTTCTATTTCCGCAGATTCTCCGGCTGTCCATACAGTGAAGGATCAAGAATGGGTAAGCACAAAAAGATCAATACGTGTGGTTATATTGAAATTGAAAGTATTTTACTGTGCAATATATTGAATAGGCTAGATCATTTCAAGTCAATGATGCGATGATGTTAAGGTCAAAACTCGGTGGGAGGCCGGGTCTAATCGCAATCATGAATATGATGAATTGATAAGATAAGGAAACAGGAAAAGCCAGCCTAATGCAAAGTGTATAACCGGTTGAAAAGTTGATGATTTTTCTCAACTGTTCCTGCCTCTAAATTAAGACCATTAATCGTCTAAAAATTGTTTCTCATCGAGTGTAGTTCCACAAAAATTTTTTTACCGTGACAAAAAATGGCGTTAACTTTTGTTAAATTGAAAACTGATTATTTTTTTATTACAGCTCATCCAAGACTTAAAGAAGGAAAACTTCGACTTGAAGTTGAGGTTATTTATGGAGCAGAAAGAACGTGAGGTAGGGCCTGGGTCAAAGAGCTTTGTACCAACGATTACTTGGGTGGATTTCAATTTTTGACAATAAAGAATATTTGGGGAATGTTATATAATCAGCCGGACGCTAGGTTTAAGTAGAGTTGGCTGCAGATTGGAAACACATTTGTTATGAAGTAAAATAAATAAATGGTTGCGAGGTCATGAAAGAAAGGTAAACCTAACCACAACCTCTTTCTTCTTTCACCAACAGAAACTGCTCAATGGCAACAGTCGTCAGACAGATGATTTGGAATCAGACCTGACAGAGGCTTTAGACGAGTTAGAACATGCGATGGACAAGGAAAACCAACTCTCGCACGAACTTAATGCAGCGAGACGTAGAGAAAAAAGCTTAGCCACTAAACTAAAGCGACTTGAACGCGTTTGTCAACATCAAGAAGAGGACATAATACGGATGAGCGTTGAGCTTGAGAATCTTAAAATGGAGATGGCTGCAAAGGATAGTGGGATTGCTAGCCCCAATGCTCCGCGCACACGGACTCTTCAAAACCGCTCTGGAAGAATGAGCCCCACTTCAGATTTCTACTCAGACCGATTATCAGCTGGATATCCAGATCGCTACTGGGATCGTTATTCCGACCGGAATTCAGATCGAGGATCGGACAGCGGGTCATACGTTACGACACCTCACGAGCGCAAGACGTTCTTCGGCGACCGCTTTCCAGATGATATGTCGACAAGCGACGAGTCGGAAACGAAGCATCGCACTATCTCCACTACAGCGTCCGATGTCGAGCGAAATAAAAGAAGGGAAAAATTATTGTCACGAAGAGTTCGACATTACCAGGATATCCCAGATAACGAGGAAGAACAGGACGTTGTGGACGGAAATGGGCGTTCTGCGGATCGTATTGGCGATGCTAATCAATCCCCTAGACTGGAAAGACTGAAAGATGATGATTCTAATCACCAGGAACGCGCGATTGATGTGGCTCCTGATATAATAAAGACCACTCCAGAAACCAATTCCGGTCAGAAAAGGGGGACATTCCCCAGACCGCGTTGGTTCCAGAAAAAATCAAAAGGAAACAAACAGACAAGCAAGAGCATGGATGAACTTAACTCTATTGGACGTATTGATGTGAAAAATATACATAAAAAGAACAAAAAATACAATTTCTGGGGCTGCGTGCGGGCCAGAGAATCGATCAATGAAAACATACGTTCTGAGTATGCGCCAGTAAAGAGACCGCAGGTCAAGAACACTGAAAGCACGCCTAAGACCACTGATCAGAATAATGGCGTCACAAACGGAGATGCAGCTCCAGTCGACTATATTTAAATCATGTTTACAACCACAGGTAGAAGTAAGAAGAGTCTTTAATGAGATAAGTACGGCCACGTGTTGGAAAGATAAAATGCTGCAATCCTGTTTATTGAAGAAAGATGTTTAGTAAATTTTATTGTAATAAGCTGTCAGACAGCAACAACATTTTCTATCAGTGAACGTCTTTATTTAATTATGATTGCCCCTGATCGCCTCGACCAGCGACCTCATCATTAATTTAATTGGTATAATTGTTAATTGTTTCGAATACAATTTTCCACTGCATGAAAGTCAAAGCCAGAAGACCTTTAAGGTAGAAAAGTACAGTAGATTTTGCGAGATACAAGCATTGCGTTTCATAGTATTGCATACCAGGCCAATGTCAATGAAGCTTTGACTTTGGGTTGTTTTCCAGTTTTTCCAATTTACACGTAAAATAATTTAAATGATACTTATAAAATCAACGATCAAATAGATGCATAGGACCGGATTCTGTTGATTCTGATGATTTTGTGTGTGTGTTTTTTTGGCATAAAATTAACAATACAACAAGCTTTTAAGCTTTTACGTGCGTGTACGTACGTGCAAAAAAAACACGGCGCAAAAAAAAACACGGCAGTGGAAAGCAGCCCCTTGAGTCAATACGTGTGCTGATAAGACGCAAAACGAGCAATGAGTAAGTCGTAGTTAGTCCGTTGAGAACTTTGATTGTACATATAATTATTCACATCATAGTGCCCAACATTCTGTAAAAATTCTATTAACAAACCATATATTATCAAATATTTACAATCAGACTTTAGGAATCTGACAAATTTGGAAAAATTATTTATAGATGTGCCCGCGGACACATTAACGGGGGGAGGTTCTATAATTTGTAGAGATTCATAAAATATAATTATTACAGAAATTTCTCTCAAGTGTCAGTCGTATTCATTAGTTTTGAAGATTGGCCTATTGGGCTTACAGGATCCATGTTCTTTGGAAATAAATGATTTTCTCTCTCGTGGGGCGATAGTGGTTTAATGGGTCGATGATATGTGTTGGATTTTGTCTTGAAGACTAACCTGAGAATGATAATAGACATTTTACGTCACACACATGCCTTGAATCCATGATTCCGTATTTAATAAATCAGGACACTGTGAACATGAATTTGGTCAAACCTTGCTTTCACTAAGCACCCTCTCAAAGTAAATAAAAATGAAAATGAAGTAATTATTCTTACTTGAAATCGTGTTTGTTATCAATCTTCGTTTCTTTTTCCCCATCTACGCAAGGTATTCTATTTCCTTCTATCAACCAACTCCGCTCTTCCAGAGGGCCAGGTTTATACCCTTCATGCTTCATCTCATCTTCCCCTCTCCTCTCAACCCCACCCACTAGAGTACCTAGCGGAGGAATTTTCTCCAGTCTCAAATTCCTCTCTTTCAATGAGAATTTCTGTGGCGGGTCTTTTAAAACATCTTCTAGCTTCGTAAGTGCGCATGCAGATTTTGCACCCTTTTCGGTCAGTTCAGTCCTTGGAAGGCATCGGTGGGTTCGGAAACGTACGTCGTCGACGACAATTCGCGATTCCCATTCGCGCATATCTGTTTGTGCTGCAGCCCGTTTCTCTTGCTCGCGAGGATCACCATAAAGATGGATTGATTCGATGAATTTTGGTTCAGCAGGCTGGGTGATTGTGTCCAAATCTTTATCGCGATGTTTCCATGGAAATTTGATTCTTTATCGCAGAAAATAAGGTGTGTAAATGTTGAGACGAGGGTATATACAAAATTGAAACAACAGCTTTATAAAAACCAAACTATACTTTAACCTCAACAGTGTATTATATAATAAGGTCTATACTCTAAAACCTATCGCAACTACTTCATGTAGTCGATGGTGTTTTACGTAAAGGAAATACGTTTTGTTTTAGGTTTAACTTGAATCCAAGCACATACCGGTCAACTGTAGGTTTCAAAACGTTAGCATGAAGAACATTTTCCCTCCACGGCTGTGAAAAAAAACGAATATAGTCGAATTTACTTTACTTGCGGAATACCCACAGGACGACCATAATTAATGATGTTTCCCCGACTTAGTACTGAGGCTGAGACAGACCTAATATTGAAATACTTACCTTGCTCAGTTCCAAGACACGAGCATTGTCTGGTTTCTGTGGATGGCGGTTCGATTCCAAAGCAGTTTTTGAACTGGAAACAACGAAGCCGTCTGATGTCAGCCATTTTTGTTTTTCTTCTTCTCTGTTAATCTGAGTGGCGCTTTCCTCTGAGTTCTCTATGCTGGCTGAGTTATAGTCTGAACAGTATGTATAAACACCACTTGGATCCTAAAACAACCCGTAATGTAAACGTAAATTTATCTTGCTATTAGTGATACTTTTTAACTACAATACTGGCTTTCTATTTTATCATTATATTGAGTTGTTTCACCCGGTTATGAGTTACGACTATATATAATGAGTTGGGGGCATGTAAAATCCTTACCTTGCTAAGAATTTCCTTCAGTTTTCGTTTTGAAAGTTCGGTGGAATTCAAGGACTGTGTACTATAGTTATGAGCAATGCTGTTTTCTAGTTCCGTCTTACTGACAGCAATACTATCAAGCTTTTGATGAGGATTCTTAGACTGGGTACGGAGCTACAGAAATGAAGTCAATGAATCAAAGACATTTCAAGGAAAACACACTCAACTAGGACCTGGACCAAAGAATATGAAACACGTTTCTAATGATGCCTGAGAAGGACCAAGCTTTACTGTGGTACAACCAAGCATGGGGCAAAGATGTGAGAAATAATAATCGATTGCCAGACGTGATGATGCATCAAAAATATTAAAAATAAAGCTTGATAGCTGGACTTAACGCAAAGGCAACACAAATTAGCTTTTGTCTGCGGTAAGAGACGTGATCGACTACGTCGCGAGTTACTTACAATATTCTCCATGATAAAATCACGATTATTACTCTCTCGAGTTTTCAAGGTCTCGAGGTATTCGGGATTTCTTAACTGCAATGGTGTCCAAATTCGACGTCTGGTTTCTACAGATTCTTGCGAACCATCGCCGTGAATGTCAACCATGCAGTCGAAATTCTCACCCAATCCTGCCTCTAAAGAAGAAAGAAAAGACAATGTTGTTTTTGTAATCCTGTTTTAACAATACAGTACCTGCATATGATACATTTTCACAAAACGTCCATACCGTACCATATACGATGGTGTACTTTACTACACATTACCTTAATACACTATACAATACAATGGTATACCACATGATGCACCACTACTCTTAATACGACATAACAGCAAGATTTACCAAAGACAACGACACAATACCATGATATACCATACTATACAGTATACAGAACCTCAACGGTATACCATGCACACCATATTAACTCACCTCCAAAATCTTCTGCAGTCAATGGTATACCAAACTCGCGACTCACAGACAAGATCATCTCCGGTGTTGGGAACAAATCATTTTTTACTATCTCGCGTAGTTTCGTGGCATTAAGGATCTAAATGGGTGTTCAGACTACAATGGTCAGTGAAACATTCAAAGCATAGTCACTCACACATAGTCATATAGTCTGGAAACTGTTTAGTCCCTGATTCAACGAGTCAGCACTAAATCGCGATTGCTTCATAAATACAAGTAATCCACTTGTCTTCTCCGTGCATATACTGTAGGTTTACATTAATACGAACAAAAAGACCGAAGGATGACTCAGTCTCATTTCTCTATATCGACTAGGAAAACAGAGACCAAGGTCGACGCGCCCTTACACCGCAAGAGGTACGGAAGTGGGCAGCCCTCATTGGAATGTTGAAGGGAATGTAATAAAGAAATAGTTAACATAAAACCCACAAACCTTATCTAGTCTAGTGAGGCCCTCGAAGCAAGGTCGTGGAACGATATCACGAACATACAGCAACGGCTTTTGAGTGATGTTAGTCAGCGAATCATGTAAACGAACTCGACAGAGATCAACATCCAAGACCACGTAAAGTCTCTCAGAGAATGTCATGTCTGATTTATACAGAACTTTCACTGATCCAGGACCTAAATGAGAGCAACCTTGATTGACCTCTTTATCTGGTATGTAAGTTAGCCTACTTCAAACCCAGTGAACTCTATAAAGACGATAACTGAAGATTATCTTATAGGGTTATGTGGCCGCCATCTTTAAACACGAATTGGGCACCAGTGGAGAGAGTTACAAGTGAAGTGTAAAAAACCCATTTTAGAGCAAGCGATTTGAGACGCATGCAAGCTATGAGAAGGTTTACACAAAGTTTTTGACTCTCGCCTTGGAGCTCGACTGACCGATGCCCGATGAGAGATTACACGGCCAAAAATTGATCAGGTTGTCACATCAGGAGTGAACAATGTTGTGCTGCACCCTGCAAACAGTATTGTTAACAATGTTGTTGAAGTTTGTTGAATCATCAATGTTGATACAATGCTGTTGTAACAAGTTGTAACAACATTGATGATTCAACAAGCTTCAACAACAGAGTTAACAATATTGTTCACAAGGTGCAACACAACATTGATCACTGCTGTTTTTAACAACTTGCATCAAAATGATAATTTTTACGCGTGTATTACATTTCATCATGAACAGATGGGAAAGAAAGTGAATGCTATAACATTACCGTTGTCGTATTTGTCCAATGGTAAGTTTTGAACCAAATCTTTGATTCCTTTATCTCTTAAACCTTCAAGGACAAAGATATGTCGAATGCCATCGATAATTTGAAATCCAGTGATGATATTCAAAATCTTTGAGACCTTTTGCTCTCTGTAAATGGACGATTGAACTCATATTAATGCATGCAAAGGCCTAGAATTGAGTTGGGTTAAGACTCCTACGAATTCTTAATGGTAAATTCAAATCTAAAACTTACTCAGATAATTTATAAGTCGACAAAGCAGCATCGATGATATGCTCTGGCAGATTCATCAGTTCCAAGGCTGTCGCATTAATCAGTGTTACCTCATTCGTAATTTCTTTCAAAAAAGTTGTGTTCGTATAATCAAATATGTAGATTACTCTGGCAAATGGACACTGCGAAATGAAAAAGAGAACTCATCTCAAAATTCACACGAACACATCCCGAACCCACGTCAATGATGCATCGTTACCTCGTCTGGTATTTTAACTTTATCAGGCTCTGTCACTCTTTTCCTTACGTCAGCAATGGTCGTAATAGGATATCCTACTTCTATCTTTATTTTCAACTCACTTCCCGCTTCGATATAATTTGCTGAAGGTAACGGCTCTTCTTCTGTTAATGAGAAACGGTTTATTTATAATTCAGATAATAATTCTAACAAACCTTACAAGCGTCTTTCATGCAGTAAGTCTGTTGGTGTCTGATACTAACTGTTGTGGGTAAAAGTACGTCAACACATAGCCATATTTTCAGGCAGACTCTAACGTAAGTCATGCAATGTCAGCAATGATATTAGAAATGTACATGGTAATTCGCCAATAACATCTCACAATTAATCATTGACTAAACTAATCATTCCATTTAAATGCAAGGATCAGTTCTTCTTGAATTGAGCGCTCCAGTAAATGAAGACCATTCTCTATAGCTCTGGCCTGTTACTAGTACTACGGTTGGAATCTTGGACTTATTCTTTCACTGTAAGACTTTCACTGTACCTGGACCATCAACGCTGCCCGTAAGGCCAACAATGGATCCGCCTGGACGCTCGTGACCGATAGTTGGATCAGGGCTTGAACAGTTGTGGACAGGAATACACATATACAAATAACGCTGGCCAAGAAGTAGCTCGGAAAGATCCAATTTTGCCACGCCGTATGGGTCCCATGCTTTATCTTTACTTTTGAATGGATTGTGAGTAGTTCGACGACCTATGAAAATAAACTTTATTATAATCGACAAAGAACTATAAAAAAAGTACAGGATATCTTTTACTGTTCAGCGTTACATCAAAGTGGAAACTCGTGGAAGAGAGTAGTTACAATATGTATCCCATTTCGATAGGGAAAGGCTTAATCTTTACCAGTGGATGGTTCAGTCAGACTCAGTGATAAGAGTTAATTTCGCAGAGTTATACTAAGATATTGAGACTAGAAGAGAAATATAGTTAAATAAGAATAAATACCTGCAACCAAGCTGACATTGTTGATCATCTCATCCTCAGGATTATCCCCAAACAAATCTGCTTTGACTTTTTTCACATCATTATTTCTATCCCTATCATGTATCTCTATATGTACTGGTGGACCCTGCAAATACTCCTGAAGTTCCCCTTGATCCAACGCACCCAGCAAAACCACGTTTACATCTTCCCAAACTACACTGCGACCATGCGGATAGCCTAGTGTACGGTGAACTGGCTCTTTGAAGAACTTGTACTGCGCAAATACTGGAACACATCTGGAGGGAAATTAATATATCAGCTGTATTTAAAAAAGGCATTGCCAAGGTATGTACACACCACACGAGTGCAGTTTACGTTAAAATATAGCTTTTGTCCATACACCAGTTACTCTTATCAACGTTTATGCACTCTTGATACGGAAAGTAATAACTATAATTACGCAACCAACTGAAAATGCCGGGGTATCAAAAGTTCATATAAAAATTTTATAACACCCAAGCTCGTGCCTAGGCCCGTACACGGCCTGAATGAGATTTTTTTAGCTAATACTAACAGGTCCTAAAATGAAATAAATTGCGATGAACGCGAAAAAGTCCCTTACTTTTCGTCCAGTTCATCGTAAGACAATGGTTTGTTTGGCAGATTTTTTACAGAACAAAGTTTTATAAGCATTGGATTAAGATCCTTCTTTTGTTCGTCTGACAATAACGGCTTATCAAGTGATACTGTGACCATGAGATCTTCGATTCCGTTCACTTTACAGCCAAGGCGTTCAGTGATGGACTTCGTCCCAGCAAAGAGTAAACAAAGGCGAAGTTTGATCGATGCAATGCCATGGACTCGAGTAAATGCTGCCAACACGGTTTGTTTCTGCTCTTCTCTCTTTGATTTACGTTTTGTTACCTTTGTTTCCTTTTCTATGTTAAAGAAATGTGAAGAAGTTACGATGGATCTAATTCACTTCTGATGGATGTTTTATAGTCTCGGTGACTTGCAATGTATGTGGGCAGCAAAACAATGTAAACCAACGCAGTACTGCTTTATCAAATAACTGATTTCATTCCATACGTCAAAAGTGAATTGGATCTAACAAAATTGCATGGATCGTGCGAACAGACCCTAACAGGGAAGAAATAATTGTTGGTTGTTTTACCAAAGATGAATTACACTTACATGCAGACACGCCTGATTTAAAACGAATACGTACAGTACAAATAGGTTACTCCACAGCAAATATGTAAACTCACCCATTTCATCAACCTTAACCTTTTTCTTTCTTTCGTTTTCAAAAGAAGTCCGTTTCCTTGTATCTACCATTTCACATAACTGCGTCATTTCGTTTTCAGAAAAAGGTTTTCCTAAACCAGCAAGTTGTGCAATGCGAAGCCAGTGACTTTTACTACTTTCATCATTTATCCTCACTTGAACTTTTGCAAGTTCACTGGCCTTTGTCACAGCTGATGGAGCTGGTGATTTTACGCAAGTTGAGCCCTGTGGAGGACAAACTGATCAATAAATGTTCTGTACAAAATCAGCGTATTGTGTAAAATAACTTACTCTGCTGACCTAAAACATGAGAACTAAAACTTTTTTACGATATGATACGATATATTTTTATTACGACTTTTTTCCGCTCATCGAAATAAGTTAACCCACTTGCAACTCATATCGAATAGGCTTTTCAGAAGTTGCAGGTTTTGAAAATTGCAGGTTCTGGACTTGGAATAGTGAGGATGCATCATCGAACTTATTGAGACCGTCCCTAAAACAACGTCGTCATGAATTGTCAATCTCGCAGTTATCAACGTCTACACCAACTTCGTAATGGTTAACCATGGAAAAAACAGCAAGCTGGGTTTTGAGGATGAGTGCTAAACATCCTACATATCTTTGCATTATTTTGTGCAATTTTCCTCTTTTCATTACTTCATTACAAGTATTTTCGCAATTCCGCTCCTACATACATGTATCTGGACCTTCATATTTGCATCATTTCACACGTGTGTGAAGATCGAGGTTAATATCAACGGGCCTAAGGATTATCGAACTGATCTCTCTCGACCTGAATGTAAGTACTACTCTGACGTACCGTTGGTGCCGTTGTTGCTCTCAACTCTTCATCTGGCGATAAAGATTCTTGAAGTCGCCCTGTTGTTCCTGACGTGGTTCTTGCAAGACGTTCACCTTCAAGAAAACTACAGCATGAGTGATTGTAATAACTAGTTTACAGAGGAAAGAAAAAACGGCGGATTCTGAAATTTCAGTACGCGAGTAACAAAATGGATAACAGGATTTCTACCAAACAACGTCTACTACAGTTGGATGATATTGTCACCGATAGTTAAAAAAAAAAAAATTTCAGGTGAGTAAACGTTTGCGTGGCTCTGCGCTTTGACAATTTGACAAAGTTTGCGGACAAAGCGTGTTCCCGATTGGCCAATCAGAAGCATGCTTTGCCCAGTAAACAACAACGCAATATTCACCTCTCATTTCACGACTTTCTTTTGGCTGTAACTGCGCATGACTGAGCGACTGTTTAAGAACCAGAGCCTTGACGTTGGAGTTTTTATCCTGGTCCCCAGCATCCTCTTCATTTTCCATTCCTGCAGGCAATCGGAACGCCTTAGGGCGATCAAACCGCGCACGGGCGGAAACCTTATCTTTTGAGTCCCAAATACGAAGCTCAAGTGAATGTTCGAAGATATTTAGCAGAAGTTCTTTGGTGATCCACATCGATACACTAAATAATTCACAACATATCAATGAAGCCTAGACGAGGATGGCATTATATTTTATTTCAAAGAGTTACAGTGGTCTAATTCTTTCTTTCCTCGTGTATTAATGCACTAAAGGGTAATTTCATCTGGCATTCTATAAAACAATGGTATATTGTGCTGTTTTTACTTTAATATATCTATTTTACTTGATTTAAACTAAGAAGTTTACTTTAACTTCTCTTGCATGGTATTTGTAACCACTCAAGATGCAGTGTTATGTGAACGTATTGTTAGGGGTGCGTGTGAGCTGAATTGTCTTAAAAAACCACAATTCCTTTTTGTCTTAATTTTGCCCACTTCTTTTGAACCAAATATTTGTGGGCAACGAATTACGGTACATTTGTGGGCATGATGAAGGTGAGCAAGAGGTGTGGTGGGACTAAAAGTTTGTTTAAAGCAATTAAGTGGGCAAAAATTTATTATCTGTAACACAATAGGGAGGCAATTATTTATTACTATTCATGACGCTTTGTCCTAGCTAGACAATGTGGTATGTATACTCATTGTCAGCCTGGCGCTGTGAAACAATAATGAATGCATTATCCTAATTTACATTTTAAAACTGTTTGTCCAATGTCTCAATCATATCCAAATTTTTTTAACAATTCCTTTTCCATTTGGACGTAAACCAAATTTTCCAGTCATATATACAACTTTCTAATCATACGTATTATTAATAAATAATATATTACTTTACTTTTGGGTCCAAGCTATCCATATTTTTTCTCCTTCTTTCCAAGTTTTGATAACTTTGGAATCATTTTCATTATAGATCTTTGCTGCCACACCATACATAACCACATCTGTTTTAACTGGCTCAATGTCATCTGGCATCAACTTATATTCCAGGTGAAAATAATGATACGCTTTTGGTGCCTCATAGACTGCAAGTCGTTTACCTTTCTTAGATTCAATAACTGGTGCATCGCTGTCAACTAGAGAGTTTTATCCATTTTAATTCATGGGCGTCAATTGAATGTTAATTGAGGGGGACCATATCTGCTAGGCCAGGCTGATCTTTATTGAAAGTGAAATTGTTTTCAAAAGAAATTAACCAGGCATGTGGAAGAATATATGAATATGGCCCCCCTCAATTAATAACTTTCGATTGACGCCAATGGCCTAATTATAACGGCATGTTTCACATCATTGGTTAAACTGAGCCAAGGTGCCTTAGTAGAAAACTAAATTACTATACCTTATGGTATAAGACATAATTGCAAACTTCAGAGTGGGTATTTCTCAGACATAATATATATAATTGATTTAACCCTACCTGCTTGAACTGCACAAGCTAATGTTACTGTGAATGTCACTTTGTGCTCTCCAGGCTCTCTAACAATGCTTGTTCTTGAGTTTCTTGACATGTCTAAAAGATTACACACACATGAAGACCACATATACTAGGATCATATTATCATATATGATGTATGACTGGGTCATGAAAATAGAAACAAAAAAGGAGGGAAGATCCTTTCTGCAATTTCCACCTGCATAGAAATTGCATGAGTGACTATGCATGCATACCCTGAAATGCACAATTTCCATTTAGGTAGTTATGTGGTATATATATTTGATTATATTTGGAAGTTAGTCTTTAATATTTGGATTTGATGGTTAAGACAGTAACATCGCAGGAATCACTACCTGGAAGTTAAATATCATAATTTAACCAACCTGTATGTAGAGTAGCGAGGTAACAGACAACTTTCAGGTAATTTCGTCTGTTACACAATCTTTCTCAGTGTTTCGACTGTCGAAGATTCATAAAAAATTATATAAACATTTAAGTTGTCGATGATCCACAGTGTTTTCAAAGTTTTGTTCAGTAGTCAAACTCACATGATAAAAGAAATGAACCGAAATCACAAAAATACACGCAGTATTCCCGAAGCAACCAAAATTAAAGTCACTCTTGCGGCCATGTTTCTTTTTCGCGTCGTTGCTTAGCAACCGTGGAAGCCTCTATGGCTACTCCTGGGTTACTATACTATCACTATCACTATCACTAGTAGTGTACAACTTCCCCCGGTCGCCCCCCCCCCTTAAATTTCCTATTCATGGAAATGTTAGCATTCGGAAACGAGGTAGTGCGCTTGAGAATAAAAATATGATTAATTATTGATTATTGAGATCGAACGGGCAGCGTTGTGGGAGATACAACTCAAGCTCTCCGGCAGGAATCTAACCTCTACCTCTCAAATTCCGTAGCAGTGTTTATTTGCAAAACCAATGCTTCGAAAGAATTTAAAACGCCCAAAACAAACGCGCACTTCTTACAGCAATTTTTAATGTACAAGGTGTATAAAAAAAGACAACACTTAATTGACAAGCCATTGTGATCCCGGTCCCAGAGGCCTAAATCTATTGTTCCAAGAACAATATGAATTTTAGATGGTAAAACCCAGTCTTCTAGTATGCATTCCATCAATTCCATGCGCGTCAACGACCAATCAGAATCCTATCTGATTCGATTGTCCCAGAGTGTTCTCCACAGTGGTTCTCCATGTGGGGAAATGACGAACCGGGTGAATATTATGGCGGGAAATGTTAAATGGCAATCTTTGTAAACATAGACAGATAAATATACTCAAAACTACGAAAATTGTCTTAATTTTTGACGCATAACGCTTTACGAAAAGATGGAAGGTAAGGTTTGTTACGATAGCAATAGTTTTCATGGGTATTGGAAATTGAAATCGGCGAATTTTAGTTGTGTGAACTGTGAATACTGTGCTTTATATAAGTATTTTATTTGAAATAACCAACAAGGCAAAAAATATTTTATATCTCTGAAATTAAACGGTCTATCCATCAATCATAGAATTATATTAGATATTTTTTTCAAATGCACCGTTTAGACGATGAACTGGATGAACTAGTGAATCTTATTGGCCATGATAGTGATGATGATTTTATTGATCAACTCTATAATAATGAACAAGGTGATAACACTGAGACAGAGAACAGTCAAAATGCTGTTAATACAAACAATGAAACTGACATAACAAGTCAGGATGGCAAGACATCTCCGGAAAATATATCCAGTAAGTACATATTATATGAATTCCAGGCCAGGTAAATAATTGACAAGTTATGAAAAACTTATATACAAATATATTTATAGAGAGGATGACAGACATGGAAAAGTATATAAAGTTTCTTGAGGCCCAGTTGAAATCAAAAAATGAAGAGAGTATCCTTTAATTTGACATACAAATTTGTAATACACATACAATATTGACAATTTCTGACATAATAATATTAGGGTAATTTGCTCACCATTTGGGAAGCTCTTAGGTTTAGTATCACTAATCGCACAGTATATAAAACACCATTGTTACACCATTAACCATCGCCATTAGAAAAGACATCACCTGAAAACAAATCAAACAAAGAGAATCCCAGCATTGTGAAATATAATGCGGAAGATTCAAAAACAGAAAAACAATTAAACAGCCAAAATTCACCTACACGAGCTGTCAAGAAGATTAATAAATCACAAACTTCAAGTGATACTACTCCATTCGGTGCAAAACCAAAAGTTGCTCATACATCAAAGAATCATGATTCATCTGTTGTAAAAATTGGTAGGTAACTAAGTAGCAACTTTTATGTTTACACAACTTTACATTATATACACATATACCTGCAGAGGTCATACCTACAGTATCTGTTTAACATACTTTGTTCCCATTACATTAGTTGCTGATTAGTTTAGTTTAATCACATTTATGTTTAGAGTTTGGTGTTCAATTATAAAATAACACATTTATCCAATCAAGTTTGATATCCATAACAATAATAACGAGTAAATGTGTACAATTAAGCATTTTTTGTTTTTAACATATTAGGTGAGACTACCTGTTGTTCTAAATATAAGACCATAAAAACTTGCTGTGTGGGTGAAAGAATCAGAACCCAAAAAGCTGAAATTCAACTTTCCATGTTGACAAAAAACTATAATTTATTATGTTATTTGACAACTAGACATGTGAATCAACACCACATGAGTGCCACACAAGTGACGGTAACATAATGACTCCTGTTGCCTGTAATGAGCTTATAGGAAGGGTGGATGTTTATCTAGTAAATCATTAAAAATACGTCTTGTGGTAATGAATTATTTAAATACACACAGAGAGAAAAAGCTCTGGTCAGAAGCGAAAGGCAGAGGAACCAGCTCCACACACATCATCTGCAAAGAAACCAGCACAAGATTCATCATCTGCTCTCACGGATGAATACTCTGGATTACGAATTGTGTAGGGCTTACAAGTATAGTTCTTAAAAAATGTAAACTAGTAATTGCATGTTTAAATCATTTTTTGCACAAGACTAAGAATAAGCCATTTCTAAGAATAAGCCATTTCTAAGAATAAGCCATTTCTAAGAATAAGCCATTTCTTTGGTTACATCACCAATATGTTTAGGGCATACTCTCCTAGGCTTGATGATGTAAATTAATGAAAGTATATGAAGGTTGAATGTAATACTCCTGGGGCCAGTTGTTCAAAGCTAGGTTAGCGCCAACCCTGGGTTAAATTTTAATCCAGTGTTTTAGTTTATGTGCTTCTGAACCACTGTTTGTTTTAAAACTTTAGAAAATATGACTTCTATCGTCCAGAAAATATTTATGAAAAAAGAGCTAACCGGCTTTTCAACAACCGGCCCCAGGACTCACTTTATGCTTTCACAACTTATTAAAATGTTGGTGAAATGCTTAGCGCCTGATCAAAATCTTGTCTAAACTCAAATACTAATATCACTCCAGTAAACATACATCATCCCTTGCAGAAACCCTTGTGTTTCGTCGACCACGATGAAGAGAAGAATGGAAGGCAGAAAAATGATCAAAATCTCTTCAATTCAATCCAATGTACGCAATAATGATGTCGAAGGAGACTGGGTCACAATTGGTGTGTTGATTCAAAAGACGCCGAAAACAACTGCAAAGGTACGAGTGTTTCTTTTAAAAGTTTTTATTTTGTAATAACTAAATAATTCAAATCAATAGATACATAATAACATCGTATATATTAAGTTACATACCGATACGTGAGCCAACTAAATTGTCTTGAATGTTATAAATTGTGCCGATAGTGAATCACTTTTAAAATGTTCTTTCTAAGAGATCTCTAGAGATCTCATAAAAGGGTTTCCGTGGAGTCTCGTGTTTTAGACATTTTAGCAATAATTAAGAACTGCTTCATCTTTCCACCCTCTAACTCTTTCATGTGGACGCTGCAACTCTTGTGTGGACTCGGAACTCATTTGTGTGGACGCTGGAACTCATTTGTGTAGACGCTGGAACTCATTTGTGTAGACGCTGGAACTCCTTTGTGTTGACGCTAGAACTCGTTTCTGTTGACGCTGGAACTCGTTTGTGTGGACGCTGGAACTCGTTTCTGTGTTGACGCTGGAACTCGTTTGTGTTGACGCTGGAACTCTTTTGTGTGTTGACGCTGGAACTCTTTTGTGTGTTGACGCTGGAACTCTTGCGTGTTGACGCTGGAACTCGTTTGTGTTGACGCTGGAACTCTTTTGTGTGTTGACGCTGGAACTCTTTTGTGTGTTGACGCTGGAACTCTTGCGTGTTGACGCTGGAACTCGTTTGTGTGGACGCTGGAACTCTTTTGTGTGTTGACGCTGGAACTCGTTTGTGTTGACGCTGGGACTCTTTTGTGTCTTGACGCTGGAACTTTTAGATTGTGTGGACGCTGGAACTCTTTTGTGTGTTGACGTTGGAACTCGTTTGGGTTGACGCTGCAACTCTTTTGTGTGTTGACGCTTGAACTTTTAGATTGTGTGGACGCTGGAACTCTTGCGTGTTGACGCTGGAACTCGTTTGTGTTGACGCTGGAACTCTTTTGTGTCTTGACGCTGAAACTTTTAGATTGTGTGGACGCTGGAACTTTTGCATGTGGACGCTGGAACTGTTTAGTGTGTTGACGCTGGAACTCTTGCGTGTTGACGCTGGAACTCGTTTGTGTGGACGCTGGAACTCGCTTGTGTGGACGCTGGAACTCGCTTGTGTTGACGCTGGAACTCGGTTGTGTGCGGACGCTGGAACTGTTTTGTGTGTTGACGCTGGAACTCTTGCGTGTGGATGCTGGAACACTTTTGTGTGTCGACGTTGGAACTCTCTTGTGTTGACGCTGGAACTATTTTTTGTGTTGACACTGAAACTCTTTTTTGTGTTGACGCTGGAACTCTTGTGTGTTGACGCTGCAACTCGTTTGTGTTGACGCTGAAACTCTTTTGTGTGTTGACGCTTGAACTTTTAGATTGTGTGCACGCCAGAACTCTTGCGTGTTGACGCTGGAACTCGTTTGTGTGGACGCTGGAACTCGTTTGTGTGGACGCTGGAACTGTTTTGTGTGTTGACGCTGGAACTCGTTTGTGTGGACGCTGGAACTGTTTTGTGTGTTGACGCTGGAACTCTTGCGTGTTGACGCTGGAACTCGTTTCTGTGGACGCTGGAACTCGTTTGTGTGGGCGCTGGAAATCTTTTGTGTTGACGCTGGAACTCGTTTGTGTGGACGCTGGAACTGTTTAGTGTGTTGACGCTGGAACTCTTGCGTGTTGACGCTGGAACTCGTTTGTGTTGACGCTGGAACTCGCTTGTGTTGACGCTGGAAATTCGCTTGTGTTGACGCTGGAACTCGGTTGTGTGGACGCTGGAACTGTTTTGTGTGTTGACGCTGGAACTCTTGCGTGTGGATGCTGGAACTCTTTTGTGTGTTGACGTTGGAACTCTTTTGTGTTGACGCTGGAACTATTTTTTGTGTTGACACTGGAACTCTTTTTTGTGTTGACACTGGAACTCTTGCGTGTTCACGCTGGAACTCTTGCGTGTTGACGCTGGAACTCTTGCGTGTGACGCTGCAACTCGTTTGTGTTGACGCTGAAACTCTTTTGTGTGTTGACGCTTGAACTTTTAGATTCTGTGGACGCTGGAACTCTTGCGTGTTGACGCTGGAACTCGTTTGTGTTGACGCTGAAACTCTTTTGTGTGTTGACGCTTGAACTTTTAGATTGTGTGGACGCCAGAACTCTTGCGTGTGGACGCTGGAACTCGTTTGTGTTGACGCTGGAACTCGTTTGTGTTGACGCTGCAACTCTTAGATTGTCTGTACGCTGGAACTCTTGCGTGTTAACGCTGGAACTCGTTTGTGTGGACGCCCTAAACTCGTTTGTGTGGACGCTGGAACTCGTTTGTGTGGACGCTGGAACTGTTTTGTGTCTTGACGCTTGAACTCGTTTGTGTTGACGCTGGAACTGTTTTGTGTGTTGACGCTGGAACCCTTGCGTGTTGACGCTGGAACTCGTTTGTGTGGACGCTGGGAATCGTTTGTGTTGACGCTGAAACTCTTGCGTGTTGACGCTGGAACTCGTTTGTGTTGACGCTGGAACTCTTTTGTGTGTTGACACTGGAACTCTTGCGTATTGACGCTGGAACTCGTTTGTGTTGACGCTGCAACTCTTAGATTGTGTGGACGCTGGAACTCTTGCGTGTTGATGCTGGAACTCGTTTGTGTTGACGCTGGAACTATTTTGTGTGTTGACGCTTGAACTTTTAGATTGTGTGGACGCTGGAACTCTTGCGTGTTGATGCTGGAACTCGTTTGTGTTGACGCTGGAACTATTTTGTGTGTTGACGCTTGAACTTTTAGATTGTGTGGACGCTGGAACTATTTTGTGTGTTGACACTGGAACTCTTGCGTGTTGACGCTGGAACTCGTTTGTGTTGACGCTGGAACTCTTTTGTGTGTTGACACTGGAACTCTTGCGTGTTGACGCTGGAACTCGTTTGTGTTGACGCTGCAACTCTTAGATTGTGTGGACGCTGGAACTCTTGCGTTTTGACGCTGGAACTCGTTTGTGTTGACGCTGGAACTTTTAGATTGTGTGGACGCTGGAACTCTTGCGTGTTGATGCTGGAACTCGTTTGTGTTGACGCTGGAACTATTTTGTGTGTTGACGCTTGAACTTTTAGATTGTGTGGACGCTGGAACTCTTGCGTGTTGATGCTGGAACTCGTTTGTGTTGACGCTGGAACTATTTTGTGTGTTGACGCTTGAACTTTTAGATTGTGTGGACGCTGGAACTATTTTGTGTGTTGACACTGGAACTCTTGCGTGTTGACGCTGGAACTCTTGCGTGTTCACGGTGGAACTCGTTTGTGTTGACGCTGGAACTCTTTTGTGTGTTGACGCTTGAACTTTTATATTGTGTAGACGCTGGAACTCTTGCGTGTGGACCCTGGAACTCGTTTGTGTTGACGCTGGAACTCGTTTGTGTTGACGCTGCAACTCTTAGATTGTGTGTACGCTGGAAATCTTTTGTGTTGACGCTGGAACTCTTGCGTGTTGACGCTGGAACTGTTTTGTGTTTTGACGCTGGAACTCTTGCGCGTTGACGCTGGAAGTCGTTTGTGTTGACGCTCGAACTCTTTTGTGTGTTGACGCTGGAACTCGTTTGTGTTGTCGCTGCAACTCGTTTGTGTGGACGCTGGAACTCGTTTGTGTGGACGCTGGAACTCGTTGGTGTGGACGCTGGAACTGTTTTGTGTGTTGACGCTGGAACTCGTTTGTGTGGACGATGGAACTGTTTTGTGTGTTGATGCTGGAGCTCTTGCGTGTTGACGCTGGAACTCGTTTGTGTGGACGCCGGAACTCGTTTTTGTGGACGCTGGAACTATTTTGTGTGTTGACACTGGAACTCTTGCGTGTTGACGCTGGAACTCTTGCGTGTTCACGGTGGAACTCGTTTGTGTTGACGCTGGAACTCTTTTGTCTGTTGACGCTGAACTTATTTGTGTAGACGCTGGAACTCTTGCGTGTGTGACCTGGAACTCGTTTGTGTTGACGCTGGAACTCGTTTGTGTTGACGCTGCAACTCTTAGATTGTGTGTACGCTGGAACTCTTGCGTGTTGATGCTGGAACTCTTGCGTGTTGACGCTGGAACTCGTTTGTGTGGACGCTGGAACTCGTTTGTGTGGACGCTGGAACTCGTTGGTGTGGACGCTGGAACTCGTTGGTGTGGACGCTGGAACTGTTTTGTGTGTTGACGCTGGAACTCGTTGGTGTGGACGCTGGAACTGTTTTGTGTGTTGACGCTGGAACTCGTTTGTGTGGACGATGGAACTGTTTTGTGTGTTGATGCTGGAACTCTTGCGTGTTGACGCTGGAACTCGTTTGTGTGGACGCCGGAACTCGTTTGTGTGACGCTGGAATCTTCTGCGTGTTGACGCTGGAACTGTTTTGTGTTTTGACGCTGGAACTCTTGCGCGTTGACGCTGGAAGTCGTTTGTGTTGACGCTCGAACTCTTTTGTGTGTTGACACTGGAACTCTTGCGTGTTGACGCTGGAACTCATGCGTGTTGACGCTGGAACTCGTTTGTGTGGACGCTGGAACTCGTTTGTGTGGACGCTGGAACTGTTTTGTGTGTTTACGCTGGAACTCTTGCGTGTTGACGCTGGAACTCGTTTGTGTGGACGCTGGAACTCGTTTGTGTGGACGCTGGAACTGTTTTGTGTGTTTACGCTGGAACACTTGCCTGTTGACGCTGGAACTCGTCTGTGTGGATGCTGGAACTCTTTTGTGTGTCGACGTTGGAACTCTTTTTTGTGTCGACACTGGAACTCTTGCGTTTTGACACTGGAACTCTTGCGTTTTGACAATGGAACTCTTGCGTGTTGACGCTGGAATTCTTGCGTGTTGACCTGGAACTCCTGCGTGTTGACGCTGGAATTCTTTTGTGTGTTGACACTGGAACTTTTAGATTGTGTGGACGCTGGAACTCTTGCGTGTTGATGCTGGAACTCGTTTGTGTTGACGCTGGAACTCTTTTGTGTGGTCACGCTTGCATGAACTCTTAGATTGTGTGGGCACTAGAATTCTGAGATGTTGACGCTGGAACTCGTTTGTGTGGACGCTGGAACTCTTTTGTG